CATGACCTTTTACATGATGGACAGATAATGGTTCATCAAGGCATGGAATTTCCTGAAGCTATGAAAAATTTGTTGTGCAAAGTACACTGCAATATTAATCATTTTATTGCCTCATAAGATTGGGATATATCGAGAATATTCAGACAAAGAAAATTGTTTCTCTGATGTCAGAATGGGGGTTGCAATGGTGTACTTTATAGAAGCAATATTCCTTATTTCCAGTTTTTCTAATAGTACTGGGTAACCACAGTATTTCACAAACAGTTGCATTTCTGACTCAAAGAAAAACTATTTAACTATTTTCCATTGATCTATGTTGTTAGAGCAGTTCTTATAATCCCAAGAAACTGAATGCCTTGCATTAACCAAGCTTGCATGGATGATGCATCTAGGTTTCCAAATCTGTAGACACTGAAGGATAAATCCAAATCTTTAGACACTGTAAGATTGCTCCAAATCATTAGACACTGTAGGATAGATTCCAATCTTCAGACATTGTAGAATTGGTCTCTGGATCTTTAGACACTGTAGGATGGATTCCAATCTTCAGACATTGTAGAATTGGTCTCTAGATCTTTAGACATTGTAGGATCAATTCCAATCTTTAGACATTGTAGAATTGATCTCTAGATCTTTAGACACTGTAGGATTGATTCCAATCTTTAGACACTGTAGGATTTGGTCTCTAGATCTTTAGACATTGTAGGATGGATTCCAATCTTTAGACATTGTAGAATTAATTGATCTCTAGATCTTTAGACACTGTAGGATTGATCCCAATCTTTAGACACTGTAGAATCCCAATCTTTAGACACTGGGATCAATTCCAATCCTAATAGACACTGGGATTGATGATCCTAATCTTTAGACTCTAACTGGTATCAATCCCAATCCTTAATAGACACTGTGGGATTGATGATCCTAATCTGTAAACACTGTAGGATCAATCCCTGGAATCCTAAGACACTTTAGGATCATTTCCAATCTTTAAACACTGGAGAAGGGATGATCCTAATCTTTAGACATTGTAGGCCTGGATCAATCTCAATCTTCATTCTTTAGCATGCATTTACTATATATAAACATATTTCAAATTTCTTGAAGAGATCATTTATTGACTCTGTGATTTATATTTTTTTTATGATTTTCCCCCCAAACCATCCCCTCTGATAATTTTTTAACATTTTTTTTTTACAATCTACAGCCATTAATAGTTAAATATCCAACTTTTTACTGAATATTTGCATGTACGTCTGTATATGTGCATTCTGACAGTATATTTATATCTGGAGACTGTACTGGTAATTGAGAATTAACCTGCTTTTTTAGGTTCTGAACTGTTTCATGGCATTCTAATTTTATTTTTTGAGAGAGAGAGAGATTAAAGGGGTCAAAATGTACCTCCCGACTTCAAAAAATTATAAAATATCCTAGCTCAGGTAATTATATAATAATTAACCAAACTGCTGTACACACAGTTTTAATTATGGCTGTTAATGGGAACTTAATTTTTTGCACCCTAAATAGTTAACTAAAAATTTACGCTCATTAAAATCAGATCCTAAACCCGTGAATCCCATAAATGTAGGTAGAGTTCAAAATGAAAAACACTGTTATAGCATCTATAATTACAACACTTCAATTTGCCTTAGAGCTTAATTCTATTTGATTTTTATTAGAAAACCTTGATGAAAGTTGAAACTAAAGGTGTTGAATTATGAAATGGCTCAGAAGAAGTATTTTAGAGTCCATCCACAATTTGAGCATAATTAAAGTCTTCTTATTTGTTTTTAGTGATCGATTTAATGCTGATTTAACAATCTGGGAGATTTACCAGTAACATTTCATCAAAGTCAGTAAAACGAACGATTGGGATAGTTAAATCAGTATTAATAAGGGCAGATAACATTAAGAAGATACATTAATTTTATTTCCATTCTTAAGGTATTTTATGCATTTTATGTACATGTTTTATCTTTTTTTAGTTTTATTGTATAATAAAATACGTCATGGAGCATTGTATTCTTTTGTTCTGACGTCACTTCAAATACTTTTATACTCATTTAACTATGTAAAACATCAGTGCATTGTCCAATGAAAATGCGTTGCATTAGACGGCAGTTTTAATGACCCTTGAAACAGTTTTTAATGCTTGTTTGGTCATGATATTGTGAGAAATTTCTGTAATGGATAGGATATTTATACCAACTCCCTGCAGATTAAGGGCCAGATATGAGAATTGATTAATCAAAAATAAAATGTAGTTGCAGTGTATATGCATGCACCACGTACATAACAATAAATTGAAGTCCATTAAGGTACCTTAATTGTCTATTTATAATTCGTACAAGTTGTAAAGTGATTTAAGAAAGGGGAAAAGACGGCAATATTTACTTTTCAGATTTCCTGAGTAAAAAATATATAATCATGCATGTAAGTGTCATGTGTTGCAAATTAAGAACAAGTACTGATTGCAGAATAAGTTTTTTGATAATGTATTGACTTATCAATTTTTAATTTCACATCTCTATTCTTTGCACCCTGAGTAGCAATTAGATTATCTGCTAATAAAGTTATAATCAGCACCATGTCGATCCACAGAAGTTCTTTGAGTGCTCTCTCAGATACACAACACTCTGGAAATTCTAAAGGTGGGATAAGGTGTCTAGCAGGAGAAACCATCCCCTGTTGACCAGTCACACAGGTCATAAGCCAAATGTATTAGGGTTTAGTGTAAGGGTTAGGGTTAGGATAAGTATTAGGGTTAGGACACGGGGGCCCATTTTACAAAAGAACTTACTTATTATAAGGGTTAGTGTGAGAGTTAGGGTTAGGTTAGATTTTGCATAAAATTGCAAGGGTTACAGTTAGGGCTGTATCAATATATCGATATATCGATACGTATCGATATTCAAGAAAAATATCGTATCGAAGAATGACTTCCAATACGTATCGGACAAACAGTTTTTCTTCTAATTCTGCTAAAAAGATGGGAAATTTAATCAACAAAGATTATATTTCACTTTTTTGAATTAAAACTGATCAATAATTATAGATTTGTGAAAGAAATAACACAGTTTTTATAGTTATAATAAAATACAGAACAATTTTATTTTAACATGTTGATTTTACAGTAATTAAAAGTTTCAATTGGAAGTGTTTTATTTACTGACTATAGGATAAGAACTTTGAAATGGGTAATAAAACACTAAATTTTTCATGAAATCTATGCTTTAGATGATTAATAAGCCTTTTTTGATGGACTTGTTTTAGAATCCAATATATCGCATATCGCTTTAAAAAATATTGTATCGTATCGCATCGAAATTTTTTGCTCAATACACAGCCCTAGTTACAGTTAGCATTTAAGGGTTAGGGTTAGGTTAGAGTTAGAGATTGTGTGAAATTGCAAGGGTTAGGGTTTGCATTTAAGGGTTAGAGTTAGGGTAAGGTTAGAGTTAGCATATGATTTGTATAGTCAAATTCAGTTTAAAAACAAAGGTCAGACAGGTAAACCAAGATATAATATGATATTTGTTAATGTGTTACAGTCTGAACAATTCAAGAATTCAGGAATGAGAGAATGAGGCTATGATCATCTGTTATATTGCACATTAAGAGATAAAAATCAGATTACAAGTCACGGTAATGAGTTGAATGAGTTGTAGGTATTACTGGAAGTAGCTGTTAATTTGTGTTAAAAATATTTTCTGATATGAGAAATTTAACACATTTAACATATTTTACTGTCTTCTGACAGTAAAAACTGTTTTTCATTTACACCTATAGGTGAAAATGATTGATCATACTTTAATATTTTGAGTTTTATAACTTATATAATTATGTTCATAATAAAAACATAAAAAATCAAAATTCTGTTTGAATTAAAAGAGACCCAAGTTTTTATATACATGTAATCAAATGAGTATACCTTTAAATTTAATTGATTTTGTAAAATCAAATTATCTCTCAGTAACCTGTTTTTATTAAAAATTGATGGAAATAGGAAACTTTTATAAACAATAGTTCCCCTTAAATTTCTCAAGTATTTTGCAATGATAAATGATATTCAGTTTGATAATTGTTTATGACTGTACCATATTAATACTGTAATACTGTTGCATGACAACAGATCAACATATATATTCATAGAGCAATTTTTGGAGCTATACTTCTTTCTTAGACTGATATTATGAGTGAAAAAATGTTCTAAATGTTTTCATTTAATTTACCATTGATGAGATCGGGTGTTTCTGATAAAATATCGGCTATAAAGCTAATGGAATTGGTGGTATTGAATTAATTTTATGGAATCCAGAGCTATTGAAGATGCCAATGATATGTTTTCATAACTCTTTGACATGAAAAAAGCAGAAATGTCTGAGATAAGACTGATGTTCTTGAAGACGGCAAAAGTGGCTGTTAATTGACCAAAATGTGATTTGTAGGATAAGTTTTATATGTTAATTACACATGTATTTCTAATTTAAGATTTCCTGTGAGACTATACTTGTTTATCTTGTATTTTTGTTTTGAGAAACCAATCTGTCTAATCGTACCCTGCAGTTAGAATTATTTTTACAGATCACTTTTATTTAAAAAAAAAGCTATGCATATTTATATCAATTAACATTAAAGATTTTTTTTATTGTAATGTATAAGGGGGATTTGAAAAACATTGCAGTTTACTTTGCAAAAATGTTTTATTTTAATGACTACATGTATTTGTAAATCTTAACACACTCATATCAGGGTATTAGCATCAGAAATTTATATCCAGATCTGCATATGAAGCCATTTGATTTGGAAAAGCATTTTACATTCATGTGGCTATCGATCAGAAACAGTTTTGCTTCTTAAATTATGTCTCATTTGCTGTTAACTTGCAGCGCGTTCTTGAAAAATCTGAAATTAATTTACCTGAGTACATACATATTGAACACAGTGTCTTTTACTAAATTAATTCACTAATTAACGATTTTAACCTTCTTTTTTCACAGCTAAGAAAGATTCCTACACAGCTTTGTGGAAACCATTTAAAGAGCAGCAACTTGAGCCACTTTGCTGGATGTCTGCACACAGCGTACAATGCCCCTGGTGTGGTTCAAATCCTCTGCCCGTTTTCTATGGATGGACGAACAGAAAACCTTGTGGTGGACGTGGTGGCCAATCAAGGTCATACATGGGTCAAGGTCATAGCAAGGAAAGCACAGGCCTTGCACTTGATTTGGGCAGGTATGTAAAATGTCATTCATAAGACAATGCCTGTTAATATAGTTTTTGTTAGGACCAGTGATATGCTTATATGCAAAATTAAGTCTCATGGTCTTACTGTATACAGTGAAACTTACCTATTTCAGACATTGTGTATTCCAATTAATCTTGCCTTAGAATATGATGAAAACTTCAAGTCCCTTTCAGTAAGATTTCAGTTGTTTAAAATGTTCTCTAATCTGGAATATGGTGTTCAATACAACCAATTTCTTCAGAACTTAAGATGGCCAGATAATAGACATGTTTTATTGTAGTGATACATTGTACAGTCAAACTTCATTATCTTGAACTCGATGGGACCAAGAAAAAAACTTCGAGATGTCTAGGGATTGAGATATTGAGGGTAAAATACTTAAGGAATAAGTAGTAAGGACTTCCAGATCACTTCAACATTATCCATGGTATTTAAGAGATATCAGTGTTTGAGATACCGAGATTTTTTAAACTGTATATGGAATGATAGCACGGCTGGGTATTCTTAATGGGGTGTTTCTTTGCAACATGAGTCATGGAATGTGCACAATAAAACAACTAACTGACAGTTTTAATGTGATCAAAACAATATAAATAGCTTCGATTTGCACCATTACAGTCCATTGACTTTGGAAAAAATGTGCGAGACTTTACTAAAGTGTCCATGGAGTGAGAGAACCCTATACATCATCTTACACTTTTGATATTTTTGATTTGCTAATGAACGACGGTATCAGTGTCATTAGCTGCAAATGGACCAATTCATCTCATCACAGGGTTCAATAGAGGACAAAGAGTAATGGAGGAAAAATATTATTTCTATGAATTTATGGCTGATGATGATCAGGCAATGTCATTGTCAATTTTTCATTTCATGAAGCAAATGGACCATTGTTTAAGGCCTTCAGGGGATTATTATTGAAGACAACACAAAGTTTATTTTTAAAGGAAAATATACCTCACACATTTTTATAAGACTAGGCTGTAAAGTGAATCAGAGGGCATCCTGAACATTTCTTGTACTGACTAAGAATATTGCATGTGTACATTTTTTACCCTAGCTATTTTATTTTCACCCTTTCACACTTGCGTATGATTTTTCCCATTTAGAATTTGTCCAGGCAAAGCTTTATTTTGAGTTTTATTTTGATTTTGCTCATTTTAAATTCATGCACCCAGGCTGCTTGGGATGAGGACAAAAGAGCCAAAAAAAATAAGTGGGATGTAAATTACCCTGTATATAGTATATCAAACAGTCAACATCTTTTAAATTCAGTAAGATGCAAATTTAAGCTATGGGAACAATGCTTGTCAGAGTTAAGAAGTACAATTGTATTACAAATATAATTAGAGTATTTAGAGATTAAATACATACATGCACATTTGCATGTACAGTAGTGTATATGAATAATTTTTCCAGCTGTGTAGTGATATTGACTGAACAACATGACCAGTCTGTATCATACAAGCATTATAAGTTTACTAGAATCAATAAAAATTATTGATATTGGTAAAAATTTAATGCACACATAAATCAACTTGACTGATGTGGACTTTTTATCAAAAATTTTTGCAAAATAATTGGTAAAAAAATTTAATGCACACATTTTTTAAATGTTATTTGTTCTTGTTTAACTGGTAATTGTGGACTTTTATATCAAAAATTTTTGCATAAATGAGGCTCCACTGTACACCACATTAAAACAAGAGGCCCATGGGCCACATCGCTCACCTGAGCATTGGCTATAGGAAAAAAGCAAAAAATCACTTTAGTTTTGAAAAGCTTAAATGCATAAGTAATTCCAAACCTATCCTAAAAGGGAGAGGGAGAGTGATTTGAAAAAAAAAATGAATCTACAAAAACTAAGGATGCTAACATATTTTTTTGATAAACTGACTTTTTTGTTACAAGTCTGAATTTTCATAATGTGGTCCTACCCCTGGGGGTAAAGATTTGAAAAAAAGTTGAATCTACACCACAGATCTGAGAATGCTTCAGTATAACTATGACCAATCATGGTTTTGCTGTTTTTGAGAAGAAGACTTTTGAAGATTATTCATATAATATTCCTAATATGTAAAACTTTGATCGTCCATTGTGGCCCCACCCTACCCCTGGGGGTCAGCATTTGAACAGACTTGAATCTACACCACCTGAGGATCCTTCAATACAAATATGACTAATCATACTGCTTTGCTGTTTTTGAGACAAAGATTTTTGAAGATTTTTCCTTTATATTCCTATGTAGAACTTTGATCCCCCATTTTGGCCCCACCCTACCCCAGGGAAGGGGGGTAATGATTTGAACAAATGACGACAACATCGAGGACAATGACGACAGACAACAGACAAATTTTGATCAGAAAAACTTGTTTGAGCCTTTGGCTTACCAGGTGAGCTAAAAAAAGGGGGGGACATCAGGGCTTGTAGGCCGTGTGATTTCAAATGAATCGTCATCATCATCATCATCATTATCCAACACAATTATAATTAACGTAAATTTGATCAAAATTGATTTCTGATTTTCTGACAATTTTCATTTCAGAGTTCACCCACGAGTTGGGGATAACGATCATGTTATTTGCGTTTGGCATTTTGACGGCAAATTAAGGGGTGATTCTTAATCCATAAATGTCTGATTTAGAGGGGGAAAAATAAATCCTACCATACAGGCTTCTCTGATATTTTATTGGACGTCATATCATTTGGCATTTAATAGTCAGGAGGTTGCGTGATCAGCATCTGATTTTTCTATCAAATTATCATTGTTGATAAGTTCAATCTTCATATTTTTAGCCTGATATTCCAGTTTAGAGTGTATATAAATAATTCTCATTTTAAATTTCTTGAATAACAAATGTTATTACCATGCCTTTAATATTGTATACTTCAGACTCACTGAAGATTTAGGAAGTTTCTATAACAGTGACTATGCAATAATTATAGATTATCCATAAAGGAAATGGGTGAATAAGGTTTGGGAAGTGTCTGTAGTTCCAAATATGGTACAATGGTGCCTTATTTATTGGGATGCACTGGTTCCATGATGAAGTCAATTCCTCCTGTAATGCCTCCTGATACCTGAATAGTCTTGATTTCAGTTATAATTGGGCCTTTCATACAGTGAAAGTGATTTGATAAATGTTATCAAATTACACCGAATCTGTTTTGCGCACAAAATAGTGTGCATATAAAAAAAGTCTCGTTTCATATGTCTATAATTATACAGTGTAAGTAGCAATACAATACATAATGCCATGTTAACCATTTTAAACCAATTGTTACATCATTGTACTCTAACAGTAAAAAGAAATATATTTGCTGACTCTGAAAAAAACATATAGACATAAAATTATTTCCCCTGTAAATTAATATGTATCAAATACATGTTAGAGAAGCGGATCTTGTCATGTATACCTGTCAACTTATAATTAGCGCTGCTGCAAGCCATTGATAACAGAATATTTACATTCCCAATGTCTTTGTCCGAGATAAAATTACAAATAGTTAGTGTACTTTATTTCTTCATGGTTTGTTGGTAGCACGGTTAAGAAAAATCTAAGAAAAATGTAGAGACAGATTCTTGGCTTAGAGCACGTGGATTGGCGAAATCAAGGGTATGTAAATATAAGGAATAACTGTCAGATTCTTCGATTTCATGACGATGATCAATCGATTGGCTAAAAATGCGTGATAATTTTATGCATAAATGCATTTGGGGTTTATGCAAATTATCATGCAAGCCAATCGATTGATCACATCATGAAATTGAAAAATAAGACAGTTATTCCTTAATTGCAGGTGATCATCTTTTAAAACAAACTGCCAGGCCATGTTATTACAACAACATATACCCAGATCAAGAAATTTGAGCCGAGTTGACAGACCAATTAAAAAATTACCATCCAGATAAATGAACCAAAATATACCGTAAAAATTTATTTTGCTGCGGAAAAAAGACTGATCATGCAGGTACGGAATGCAGAATTTCTGTGAAACAAGATAAAATAACGTTAAAAAAAATTCTGTTCCTATGAAGAGTCTTCAGTATATCAGGCATCCAGAGATCTGAAGGTCCAGACTGTATACATTTAAGTGCAGTAGTTTATCTTTTGATGAATGTTAATATATCTGTAAGGTACTATTTTCAACAGGGTATACATCTCTATTTCTCTTTAAGTACAGTAATTTATCTATATTCATTACACATCTTTAAATGAAATTGAGAAAATTTGGTAGAAATACCACGTGGAAAAAAGTTAATTTCATTTCAAGGCATCAGCTCATTTATTTATTAGCAGCTAAGGGCAAAAATTCTTGAAAACAAATCATAATTAATGAAATGACAAATAAAAAGGAGCATGACACTATATACCCCCAATCAATTCACAGTGGAGGCATAAAAAAGAAAATTAAAGTGACGATTCTTGTACAAATGGAATTGAATTTTTAGCACGTACTGAATTACTATTTAACCAATATATAATATTAAGTATTTGACGTTTAGCCTTTATAAAATGGAGCAGCATTTCCATAAAATGATCAAAAGTAAACCAGCTATAAATCCTAGAGAGATAAATAATTACAGAAAGGAAAAGTGTAAATCCTGGGTGTTTTGTGATGGCTATCGATCTCTAGTTTTGTATGTGCGGTGCCCAACAGAGCAATCAGTACAGAATTTATGAGTACAGAGCATTAACAATGTGGTGATTGTTGCAGGAAATGAAACTTGATTGCGATTTTGGCTTCAGTCATTGATCTTTTATAAGAGTACAGGAACTTCAAACTGTTGACTTGTTTGTTTGCAGATTATCCCATCAATAATAAAAACACAATAAGAACACATTAATGTGAGGACTGATGTATTAAATTAATCAATTTTTAATGATATTCATTAAACTGTATATTTTAAATTATTTGGTTCTGATGTATTAAATTAATCAATTTTTAATGATATTTTCATTAAACTGTGTATTTTAAATTATTTGGTTTTTGTAAATAAGAGAAAAAAAAAAACAACATTTTTAAACCCTAAAACTATGAAAAGAACTGATCATTCAAATACATATGTAACCACTTGACTTCAGAAAATTTTATCTCCATTAATTTGCTCAAATCAAGTTCAATCTTCATCCTTAGAGTTCTTTTTCATGTTATTGTAATATGTATTATAGATGGTATGCAGGGACCTTGAACTAAGTTTCTACATCAAAGGTCAAGGTCAAAATATATACTTTACAGGTGTAAATACATTAGAACTGATTTGTTTGGTCTTGTAATGTTAACTAGATATGGGTAAAGGGACTGTGCAGTAACCCTGAACAAAGTGTCCATGTCAAAGTTCAAGGTCACATCTATGTGTTAAATCCTTGTTTAAATTATATTGGCTCTGTCATGGCTTATAATTGTTTCACCCATAGTGTTCTCAAGGATAAAGGCTGTACTGTGAGCCAAGATTCTGAGACCAAAGATCAAACTTCACATAAATAAGGCACCTCACTGATCCCACCTATTTTCTTTTCTAGGAAGAGGACAGTTTGGGGAGAGAGATAATATGATTGGTTGGGGAGAGAGATAATATGATTGGTTTCTATTTTAGGAAGAGGACAGTTTGGAGTGAGAGATATATGATTGGTTTCTATTTCAGGAAGAGGACAGTTTGGAGAGAGAGAGAGAGATAATATGATTGGTTTCTATTTTAGGAAGAGGACAGTTTGGAGAGAGAGATTATATGATTGGTTTCTATTCTAGGAAGAGGACAGTTTGGAGAGAGAGAGAGAGATATATTGGTTTCTATAAGAAGAGGGCAGTTTGGGTGAGAGATATATGATTGGTTTCTATTACAGGAAGAGGACAGTTTGGAGAGAGAGATTATATGATTGGTTTCTATTCTAGGAAGAGGACAGTTTGGAGAGAGAGAGAGATAATATGATTGGTTTCTATTTTAAGAAGAGGGCAGTTTGGAGTGAGAGATATATGATTGGTTTCTATTACAGGAAGAGGACAGTTTGGAGAGAGAGATTATATGATTGGTTTCTATTCTAGGAAGAGGACAGTTTGGAGAGAGAGATCTAGTTAGACAAGCCAGAGACTACCTTCGCTGTGCGGTACATCATCCAGTCAACTTCCAGAAACCCAAAATCCACTTTGCTTTCTATAATCAGGTATATCAAATTTCTTTCTGAGAGACAAAATGCTTATAACTGATTTTATTCTTTCAGGATCCCTCAGGTGAGCTTTGTGGCCTTGTGTTGTAAGAGACTTTTCCTTCATTTAATTGTTAAAATGGTTGTTTCACAGGCTCACAAATGTAATGGAAATGTGCACCAACCAATCGTCAACTTTCTTGTAAAAGAAGTGTTAAAATGGGATGGTAAATTTTGTATTCATATTTTGTCTACTTGAAGGTAACAATACCAATGGCAGCTTGCCTGGAGAAGTTGGGGGTCTCTGTGTCAGGTGACCGGATACCAGTTGATGAAGGAACAGCAAACCAGATTAACATGGCGTGTCTTTCTTCAGATGAGGACAGTGAAGACGAGACCTGCCCTGATAAAAATATCAGTGGTAACGATGATTCAGATGTAAACCAAGATGACTTTTCATTGCACACCGAATCAGAAAGAAGATTTAAAGGGGACAGATTTTCATCAGAACCCTCTGCAGATCTGAACTGTGATATTACCTCAAGTACCTCAAGTCTTTCAAAAAATGACCCTTTATTCTCGGACTTAGATTTATTAGGATCTTTAATATCATGTTTGCCGAGATTTGATTGTCTATCACACTGCACAAAAGGAAATGATTCCAAAAAAGTTAACCTGGATATTACAACTTTGATTACACTGGTGTCTTCTGTAACTCATGATGGATGCCATTTTGAGTTTTCGGAGAAGATCCTGGCCCAGCAAGCTGCAGAAGAAAGGGAGGAACCAGTTTTACCCAAACTTAAGAAGTTTCTTCAAGGTAAATGAGAATGTACATCTTCCTTATGGTTCAGGCTCTGGGGCCATAAAACTCAGATGAGCTCACTTTTGATCTCAATCTCAATTTTCTAATATTAATTCCTTTGGTAAAATGGAGATGAAAAGTGAGCTCATGTAAGTTTTATGGCCCCAGAGCCTGATGTGTGACTGGTGGGCAGGGGATGCTTACTCCTTTATGACACCTGATCCCATCTCTTGTTATTTGAGGTCTGTGTTTGTCCTGCTCCCTGTTTGTATTGATTCAATGGACTTTAAATCTTGATTACTGTTCATTATCTCCATATGTTATATACTACTTGCAGAAAATTTGCTCAGTCCAACTGATTTTGAACACCCCTTACAATTTTGCCTCCATGGCACTTAACAAAGAAACAATATGATGCAGTCTGACACAAACCTATTCTTGTCAAACATAATTTTGTCTAATTTAATCTAAACACCATTGTTTCCAAATAAAACTGATAATAGCTAGTAAGATTAGAAAACATTCTGGAAGAGACATCAATTTATATTAAAGGAAAAAAAAATTAAGTTTACTTTGTTTGATGGACAAGATTTCTTAATACCCAATTTCTGGATTAGATGAATTAATAGATTTATATACAACCGTGATGTCTTTGCCATCACAATAATTATAATCCTGATCATTCTAGAGATTGCCTGTTTTATTAAGGGCTGCCCTTGTTGTTGTTATAGTGGGCTGATTGAGTCATGTTGATTTCTGATAATCATTGCCAGAAGTTGTTATTAATGGTGCCTTTTTGCTTTAATTTATCATGTAGAAGTATTAATGGCTACGTGACTTAAGTATCATCACATTGTAGGAATCAACACTTGACTTTTCCTAGGACATGAATCTTGTCCCCTCGGTGGAATTTCAATACACATTTTAGTAATGAATGATTCTAATAATCCTCAACTTGAATGTGGCTTAATACACCTTTGATGCTTCGAACTGGTTAGAAAAATGTAATTCCAATTTATCACACAAGCTACATATTCTTTACAATGTTGAAAATATATCTTTTTTTGAGGAGATAGTTTGGTGTTAGAACTTCATTTTAAGGGATTCAATAAAACCATATAAATCACAAAAAGAGATACAGTATCAAAACAAATCCTGATTTCAAAAGACAACAGTCCCAAAAATTAATTAATTGTTGATTGCTAAAAAAATTCTTTTAAATAAGAAATTAGTTAATTCTGTGTTTTTGGTAAAATAATATTAAAAAAATCATAACTGTTTTGTAACTGGCCGATATGCTTGAACAGAGAAAAACAAAGATACATTTGGATGAAGAAAAAAAAAGAGGAAAAAAATAAGAAGAATGAAATAAGATTGTTTTTGAAAGCTCTTGGTAATTGCTTTAGCTCTGTGTTGGTGATCATCTGTAAAATTTCGTCTTATTTCCTTTCCACTTGTCAGCACTGATCAATATTCTGTCCTTCACAGAACTAATTCCTCTAAATTTTAGAGAAAAAAGAAAGCTGGCATTTTTCAGGCTGCAGTTTGGAGATCAGGGGTTTTGCATGCTTCCCAATGACAGAGGGACATATATAATCAGATTTGCGATCGTCGCAAAGTGAAAAAGTCGTAAGGTAGGGGCCACTCCAGGGACTGCCAAGCCCTTGCCAGTGGACTTTCCTTGTGAAATATATACATATTGGTTTTTTTTTTAGAGAATGATTTTTTTCACTCTTCCTAATGTTCAAATTGATTTAAATCACAATTTTGCAATATAGTTTATACACACCAATACTGCAAGGTCTGTGACTTTTTAGCTCACCTGAGCCGGAGGCTCAAGTGAGCTTTTCTGATCAAAATTTGTCCGTTGTCTGTCGTTGTTGTTGTCGTTGTCGTAGTTGTTGTCATTGTAAACTTTTCACATTTTCATCTTCTTTTCAAGAATCACTGGGCCAATTTCAACCAAACTTGCTACAAAGTATCCTTGGGTAATAGGGATTCAAGTTTGTTCAAATTAAGGGCCACACCCTTTTCCAAGGGGAGATAATTGAATTAGAGAAAAATTAATGGCGTTTTTTAAAAATCCTCTTCTCAAGAACCACTGGGCCAGGAAAGATGACACTCATGTGGAATCATCCTCATGTAGTGTAGATTCAATTTTATTCAAATCATGACCCCTTGGGGTAGGGTGGGGCCAATATGGCCGATCAAAGTTTTACATAGGAATATATAGGAAAAATCTTTAAGAATCTTCTTCTCAAGAACCATTGAGACAGGAAAGATGAAACTCATGTGAAATTATCCTCAGGTAGTGTAGATTCAATTTTTTTCAAATCATGACTCCCGGGGGTAGGGTGGGGCCAAAATGGCCGACCAAACTTTTACATAGGAATATATAGGGAAACCTTTTAAAATCTTCTTTTCAAGTACTTCAAAGCCATGATTAGTAATATTTATATGGAATCATCCTCAGGTAATGTAGATTCTAGTTCATTCAATCATGATCCCCTGGGGGGGTTAAAATTCAATTCCCCCCCAACCTCAGTAAACTTTCTGATCTGATATGTGCTTCTTCCTAGCTGATGTGCTCAGGTGAGCGCTGTGGCCCCTGGGCCTCTTGTTATTTATAATTATTTCTTATATTACAAAAGTGAGGATGGACTCTGATGCATGAGCTAAAAATTACAAAAGTGCAAGACTAGTCTTTTAACCTGATGAATGAGAAGAATAAGTAAAGAAATCATAAGGCTTAATTTAGAAGCTCAATAATACCTCACGCCAAAATCTTATAGGTTAATGGAAGCTCAATCCTATTATGGTTTGCCTTTACAAGTAAGAGAAAAAGACATTTGCATGGATTCTTTGTTAGTACACGATATTTGAATTTGTCCTCGGAAAAGCCTTTATATATATATATATATATATAAATATTTGAGAAATTTTCTCAAAATATTGCATTGATTCTTCTTTCACTGTAAAAGCTGTGACCATAAAATGTATAGCTAAGACCAATATCTAATTGCACAGGACTTTTCAGTGAAAACCAGGAAGTAAATAACTAATGCTCAAACAACTGTTTAATGTGAGTTGTGTTCAGTTTAGTACCATTTTATGTCTATCGAATGGTCATACATGCATGGACTTGATGAATATTTACCATATTTGAAGTATACAACTTCATTATGGTAAACATTATGGTAATGATGTCACAACATCATTGCATCATTGCAAAGAATTGGCAGCACATTCTTGTTCAAATTGCCCTGATTTACTGAGTCTTCATTGTTTTGTTTTAAGATGAATAATAATGAAAGTAAATGGCTTGGTAACCTACATGATTTAATGATCAAGCTAGTATGTTGTTTTGTTATTCTTTGATCATTATAAACTAGTTTATTATTTTTGTATTAGATGCTCTATTTTAATGGAACTTAGGTTTAAATATGGTTTACATCTAAGAAATCAATGCATAGCACAGAGCATGTTACTGTTTTGCAATCTTATATTTTAAGCTCACCTACGCCGAAGGCTCAAGTGAGCTTTTCTGATCACATTTTGTCCAGCATCCGTCTAGCTGCATGTCTGTCTGTCTGTAAACTTTTCACATTTTCGACTTCTTCTCTAAAACCACTGGGTCAATTTCAACCAAACTTAGCACAAAGTATCCTTGGGTGAAGGGGATTCAAGATTGTTCAATTGAAGGGCCACGCCCTTATTCAAAGGGAGATAATTCAGAAATAGTGAAAATTTTATGGTATGTTTTAACAAGAGGCCCCTGGGCCTTATAGGTCACCTGAGCATTATTCAACAACTTCCCAGTGACTGAATTTGATCCATGTTTTAAGCCAGATGCTATAGCATTTACAATTTGGTCATCATAAATATACACTTAGCAGTTCCTTAGTTTGGTTACTTTATACCCATAGGCAAGCTAGGGGAACAAAAAATGCATTTCAACTAATCAGTAATATTCAGCAATAATCAGTAGTGCCGCTACCACACATGAACCCTTGACTCTTAGGCCTAGATCCACACATTGCACTATTTTTGGAAAGGCATACTTGCTTTTCAAAAATATTTGATTAATACCAAGGAGCACATTTCAAACAATTCATTCATTTTCAGTACATAAGTACAGCCCCCCCCCCCACTATGGTACAACTGACCCTGGGGCCTTGAAATTTACAATTCTTGAAGATTAGGGATTGCTCATAACTATATAGGTAATTCATCTGCTTAAAACCTAGGAGAAAAGAAGAAAATATTCAAAGATTTAATGTTTTTACACTATACATGTATAATCAATACAGCCCCGCCCTAACACCAGAATCCCTGACCCTGGGGCCATAAAATTCACAATTTTGGCAGAGGCACTTTTGCTGATCATAACTATGTACTTAGTTAGTTTATTTAATACCCAGGAGTAAAGAAGAAGATTTTCAAAGAATTCATGTATTTCCTCTATATAATCAATAGAGCCCCACCCTGACACCAGAACCCCTGACCCTGGGGCCATAAAATTCACAATTTTGGTAGTGGCACTCTTGCTCATCATAACTATGTACTTAGTTAGTTTATATAAAACCTAGGAGCAGAGAAGATTTTCAAAGAATTCATGTATTTTCACTATATAATCAATAGAGCCACGCCCTAAAACCAGAACCCCTGACCCTGGGGTCATAAAATTCACAATTTTGGTAGTGGCACTCTTGCTCATCATAACTATGTACTTAGTTAAATTATATAAAATCTAGGAGCAGAGAAGAAGATTTTCAAAGAATTCATGTATTTTCACTACATAATCATTCGTGCCCCTTCCTATCACCAGTACCCCTGTCCCGGGGGCCATAAAATTCACAATTTTGGTAGAGGCACTCTTGCTCATCATAACTATGTACTTAGTTAGTTTATTTAATACCCAGGAGTAAAGAAGAAGATTTTCAAAGAATTCATGTATTTCCTCTATATAATCAATAGAGCCCCGCCCTGACACCAGAACCCCTGACCCTGGGGCCATAAAATTCACAATTTTGGTAGAGGCACTCTTGCTCATCATAACTATGTACTTAGTTAGTTTATTTAATACCCAGGAGCAGAGAAGAAGATTTTCAAAGAAATAATGCATTTTCACTATATACTTATTTAGCCCCGCCCTAGTACAAGAACCCCTGACCCCAGGGCCATGAATTTCACAATTTTGGTAAAGGACTCAATGCTGATTACAATCATGCAAACAGTTTGACTGCTTGATGTCCAGGAGTAAAGAAGAAGATTTTTGAAGATTGCATTAATTTTAGTGGTTTTTTGCCCCACCCCCCAGGCCCCAGGGGGGCAGGGATCATGAAATTCACAATTTTTGTTCCCCTTCACCCATAGATGCTTTGTGCAAAATTTGGTTGAAATTGGTTCAGTGGTTGCAGAGAAGAAGCTGAAAATGTTCAAAAGTTTACGACCGATTGACGACGAACGACGTACGACGTACGACGGACGACGACGGACAAAAACAGATAGCAATAGGTCACCTGAGTGACTCAGGTGACCTAAAAATGTTCTTCTCAAGAACCACTGTGCCAGGAAAGATGAAACTTATAGGGAAACATCCTCAGATAGTGTAGATTCAGGTCTTTTTTCAAATCATGACCCCTAGGGGTAAGGCGGGGCCACAATGGCCGGTCAAAGTTTTACATAGAAGTATGTAGGGACATTTTAAAAAAATCATCTTCTCAAGAACCACGGTGCCAGGAAAGATGAAACTTATAGGGATGCATCTTCAGGTAGTGTAGATTCAAGTTTGTTCAAATCATGACCCCCGGGGGTAGGGCGGGGCCACAATGACCAATCAGAGTTTTACATAGAAATATATAGGAAAATTCTTTAAAAATCTTCTTTTCAAAAATAGCAAAGGCATGAATGATCATATTCATATGGAAGCATCCCCAGGTAGTGTAGATTCAAGTTTGTTCAAATCATGACCCCCGGTTGAAGGGCGGGGCCATAATAGGGAATCCAAGTTTAACATAGAAATATGTATAAAAATTCTTTTAAAATCTTCTTTCTAAGAAAGGCAAAACCATGGTTAGTCATATTCATATTGAAGCATTCTCAGGTAGTGTAGATTCAAGTTTGTTCAAATCATGACCCCTGGGGATAAGGCGGGGTCACAACAGGGAATCCAAATTTCACGTAGAAATATATAGAAAAATTCTTTAAAAATCTTCTCAAGAATGGCAAAGCCATGATTAGTCATATGTATATGGAAGCATTCTCAGGTAGTTTAGATTCAAGTTTGTTCAAGTCATGACCCCTGGGGTTGGGCAGGGCCACAATGTTAGTTCAAATGTAAAGGGCAATAAAGCTAAAGGTAGTCAAAGAAATATGCAAGCATTTATTTATCCTTAGTTAGTGTAGATTCAAAATTGTTCAAATCATACCATCTTCCCTTTAATGATTGGTTGGGTCCACTTTTTGGTTTAAACTTTTCAATAATAAACTGATTTCTGTTTTTTTTCCTAGCCAGACTGCTCAGGTGAGGGATGTGGCCCATGGGCCTCTTGTTTTTAGCTCACCTGAACTTTTCTGATCACATTTTATCAATAGTTGGTATATCCTTCTGTCTATCTGTTAACTTTTCACATTTTTGACATCTTCTCCAGAACCAGTTGGCCAATTTTAACCAAACTTGGTACAAGCATTCATATGAAAGGGAAGTTCTCGGGTGAAAGGAGATTAAAGTTTCTTTAAATTAAGGGCCACATCTTCATTCAAGGGGAAAAATTCACTGTAAAAAGTGAAAATTTGGTGGCCTGTTTTAAAAATCTTCTTCTCATGAACCACTGTGCCAGGAAATCAGGACAGAAACCAAATAATTTATTCTTTGCCTTAAAGTTATCAATTAGCTGTTTCCTAGTCATGCTGTACTTAAATGGCTTCAGCGTAACCACAGTATTCAAGAAATGAAACATAACAATACAAAATAGGAGCAGAGTAAACACAGACCTCCAAAATATCAGAGGTGGCATCAGGTGCCATGGGGGAGTGAGTATACCCTGCCAACCTGTCACACCTACCATGTGCTTCTTGTCATGATCAGAAAATAATGGGAAAATCTATTTTCAATTTAGTGTAATGGACTAACAATTAGTATGAAAAACATCAGTCAGCATTTGACTCAAGATAAATTGTATTTACTGACAAGATCGTGTCGACCATATAGAACTTGCAAAATGATGACTTTAAATGAGACTGCTGATATTCTTGTTTCATCAACTTGTTTGTCAATAATCTACCTCATTTCAGAAATTGCTCATACATAGAGCATGCTCTTGTGTATCGAATCAACAGATATATAAACTCTGTATGAAGTTGATGAATAAGTAATGGAAGTTGACGATTGTAAAGTTAAAATCATCATGTTTATCATAATGCTTGATTATTAGATCACCATAAACGTCTTTTTCAAGTAAAATATCCAGATATGAAGCAGATTTGTCAGACTTTGGTATCTTTTATCTCAAGCTTGTCAGGATATATCATATCAACATAAGAAATTTACCATAATTGTTAATTGACAATACGTCGTCGATATATCTAAATGTCGAGTTGAAGGCCACAACAAGTGTTTTCTTCTTTCATGTACAAGATTTTGGACAAATTCTGCTTCATATGAATACAAAATTAGGTCTGCTAATAACGGGGTGCAATTGGTATCCTGGGAATTCCAATAGATTGTTGGAACTGATTTATGAGATTTCTAGAAATTCAACTGTATAATGTTCCCAATGTAAAACTACAGTTAAACTGTAATTATATTTCTAGGGAAGACGATGTTAGTGTGTAAGACAGCTTTGGAGGATTTTCAGTCGATTCTGGACACTTTAGGTGGTCAAAAGGAAAAGGAACGGGCCAAAGAACTGCTGTCTCAAGTCACTGTTGTCAATGACGATCCTTCAGAAAGAACTGTGGAGATGCCATATTCACTTAAAATAAAAGAAAGGTCAAAGGTTAGTACATAGGGTTGGGAAGGTCTTCATTGGTTATTGGTATTTAATACAATATAAAAATACTTCTCCAGAAATCCGATTGCTCATCATAATATGGCAAATAAGAATAAAATTACTTCATAAAATTCTTAGCATGTAAATATTTATTTGGGCTAGTGTAATTAAAGTGGATGTACTGCATTAAGGGCATGTCATGAAAAAAAAAAAAGCAAAATGCGAAAAATTAAAGGGAAATCAGGTCTTTGCAATTTTTCTTGCTGTACATTGTCCTAAGAAAGAAAATTTCTCTCCAAAAATCTAATTTAATTACAATTTACGCCACAAATTACATTTGTACAAATCCTCAAACCACTAGATCTTGAATGTCGTAGTAATGGAATCAACAGCACCGTATAATTAAATTGTAATGTTTAATCCAAGATAATTAAATTTCCTATTGCGGAGGTAGATTTCACTGAACACCTAATTTAATTAGTGTTCTTTTCTATATGTATCATTGTGGTCCAGGCATTGGGAAAGCTTGTAGAACTTCAGTAACAATGAATCTCGGCAAAACAATATCTTTCTTCTTGACGGCACAAACTAAATGTTTCTGATTTAGAGGGTAAAAAAAAATAGCTCTAAAAAATCAATACTGTGGTTCATTAACACATAGATGACATTGATTTAAAAAAATGTTTAATGGGTAATTTATTTGATTTCCTCCGAGTAACATAATGCCTCTTGTTTTGTAGGTGATTTTTGGGACAGGTGATAAACTACAAGCAGTGACTGTAACAGCCAACTCGAGTTTTGTGAGAGCCGCACAACATCAGGTAATGGTCAAAGAGAGATAACTCTTAAAGGACAGGATAATGCATCTGATTCAGATAAGTATATAATGGTCAAAGAAAGATTACTCTAAAAGCACAGACTTGATTATCAGGTAAAAGAGACAACTCTTAAAACACAAGATTTGATCTAACAAATATCTTTCAACCTGCAAGATTTATATTTTGTTTTTTACAACAAAAAGTCCTTGATGCCAGAATCACTTTTGCTCAAATTCCTTTATTATTTTTTGAAGGGTGTGGCATATGCAGTGTATTTACATCCATCAAGGGCCTTAACTGAAGAGAAAGAGAAGAGTGCAGTCCCTTTGGTCTCTAGTGAATAACTGGTTGACTCCGATATTATCTCCATTGATTTGGAATGTAGATCATGTCTTTCTTGTTCTGAACTGATGTGTAATATCAGCTAAGTTTATAAAGTTCACATGTATAAATGAAATATTCTGGTTTTGATGTTTTTCTTTAGAGTTGACTCTGGAATTATTTTATTTCATGGGGTCAATATGTTTACAAGGTAAACATCCTAATTTCGTGGGCAAGGGTGGCCCACAAAATTGAGGAAATTTGATCCCCTATGAACAATGATGATTTCACAGTGACTAACCGTTATTTCATGGTAAAAATGCAGAAGAGCATAACTGAAAACATATCACTTACATTGAATGTTGGAAATTTTGTGAGTTATATTAATAGACTTCTTAAATAATTGTGCAATATGAGACATTATAATTTAGTTGGAAAAATGAATGGGTTCCAGGTTCTAAGGCTAATTATAGAGCAAAGTTCGCCCCTTCCCTGGTAAATTATTGCAGCAGGAAATTAAGAATTTGTATCAATGGATTTCAAATATTTGTAAGAAAACATGTATTAACTTTTAAAAAAAAAAGCAAATATAAGCATGTTAGAACTGTAACAGGAAAGGAGAAAATGTATGGCTGGACCGGGAATCGAACCCGGGACCCCTGCATCTCTAGTCAGGTGCTCTACCAACTGAGCTATCCAGGCCGATATCCACGGCCCTAACCATTACATTCCTCCCTCCTTAAATGGTCTTCGCCCTCGAAGACACAACCCAAGTTCTTATTGCCCCTGGCAGGACTTTCACCTGCAATTCCAGGGGTGGTCAACGGCACCAAATCTGTAACAGGAAAGGAGAAAATGTATGGCTGGACCGGGAATCGAACCCGGGACCCCTGTATCACTAGTCAGGTGCTCTACCGATTGAGCTATCCAGCCACCGGCGATCGAACCCGGCTGACTGCCACATTCCTCCCTCCTTAAAGGTCTTTGGCCCTCCAAAGACCCCAACCCAGGCTCATCCCTGGCAGGTCTTTCACCTGTCAAATCCTGGTCATGGCACCAAAATCTGTAACAGGAAAGGAGAAAATGTATGGCTGGACCGGGAATCGAACCCGGGACCCCTGCATCTCTAGTCAGGTGCTCTACCAACTGAGCTATCCAGGCCGATATCCACGGCCCTAACCATTACAGAACAATGGATCTTTATTCTTTATAGAAGTAAATGTATCATATACAAAGAGGACAAAACACTTAACTAATAAACAAATCTCACATTCCTAAGAGTTATCTCCTGTTGACAACTTCGATCTGTACCTGTATTGCCAGAGTATGGGGCAACATGGAAAACATAATGAACATATTCATACAGATTTTATTTCTAAGATACTGACCCATAAAGTTGGTAAAGTTATAGAACGAATACAGTGCCTTACGCCGGTTGACCCCACAAAGGGGAATAACTTTTGTAGACGTGAAAGTCGTCTATAAATACAATCAAACCTTGTTATCTGGAACTTGAAGGGACTGAGGAAAAAAAAATGAGGAAAAATCAAAAGATTTGAGACAGAACTTCAAAATACATGCAAAAAGAAAACTTATTACTTCATATCCATCGTGTTCAAGATAACAAAGTTCAACTGCACCAACATCAAAATAACAATCAAGTTTTAACAATTCTGAAAGACTTGGAGAAGAACAAGAGATGTTTGTAAAACACTTATGCCCCCCTCCCCCCAAATTGGAATTTTGTAAGTTCAAGGGGCATAACTCTGTCAACCAGAAGTCTCTGTCGAGACTTAGCTCTACTGGTTTGTACTGATCAAAAACCGATGCACAGAATTATGTATCTTAGTGTAGTGTACTTGTGTGATTGAATTCAGACCAAAACTGTAGAAGGAGTAGCATTTTAAAGGAATTCCACAGAAAATTCTACTTTTAGTAACCATGGCAACACCGTTCATTGAAATCAAAAACCGATGCACTATTATATGTAAATTAGTGTAGTTTACTTGTGTGCCAAGTGATAATGAAATCCGACCAAAACTGTAGAAGGAGAGCGATTTAAAGGAATTTCTCAGAAAATTCTATTTTTAGTAACCATTGCAACACCGCTCATCGAAATCAAAAACCGATGCACTATTTTATGCATCTTAGTGTAGTCTACTTGTGTGCCAAGTGATATTGAAATGAGACTAAAACTGTAGAAGGAGTAGCGTTTTAAAGGAATTTCACAGAAAATTCTATTTTAAGTAACCATGGCAACATCGTTCATCGAAATCAAAAACCGATGCACTATTTTATGTATCTTAGTGTAGTCTACTTGTGTGCCAAGTGATATTGAAATGAGACTAAAACTGTAGAAGGAGTAGCGTTTTAAAGGAATTTCACAGAAAATTCTATTTTTAGTAACCATGGCAACATCGTTCATCGAAATCAAAAACCGATGCACTATTTTATGTATTTTAGTGTAGTCTACTTGTGTGCCAAGTGATATTGAAATGAGACTAAAACTGTAGAAGGAGTAGCGTTTTAAAGGAATTTCACAGAAAATTCTATTTTTAGTAACCATGGCAACACCGTTCATCGAAATCAAAAACCGATGCACTATTTTATGTATCTTAGTGTAGTCTACTTGTGTGCCAAGTTATATTGAAATCAGACCAAAACTGTAGAAGGAGTAGCGTTTTAAAGGAATTTCTCAAAAAATTCTATTTTTAGTAACCATGGCAACACCGTTCATGGAAATCAAAAACCGATGCACTATTTTATGTATCTTAGTGTAGTCTACTTATGTGCCAAGTTATATTGAAATCAGACTAAAATTGTAGGAGGAGTAGCATTTTGAAAAATTGTTTACAGACAGACGGACAGCTAGACAGACGGACGGACGCCGGACGCATTACTATCGCATAAGCTCTTCTGGTCTCTGCCCAGTAGAGCTAAAAATGGTGCGATCGTACTCAAAACAGAACTTGACCTAGATATTCATCTGATAAATCTGTATACTAAATTTCATTTCAGTATGTGCAACTTCTGCAAAGAAAATGAACAGAAACTGGAAATAATTGGAATTTTTCTAAGTCCAAGGGGCATAACTCTGTCAAATATGGTGCGATCATATTCAAAACAAAACTTGACCTAGTACATATTCATCTGAGATATCTGAATACTAAATTTCATTTCAGTATGCGCAACCTCTGCGAAGAAAATGAACTGAAACTGCAAATAATTGGAATTTTTCTTAGTCCAAGGGGCATAACTCTGTCAAATATTGTGCGATCGTACCCAAAGCAAAACTCGACTGAGACATTTATCTGATACACCTGTTTACCAAATTTCATTTCAGTATGTGCAACGGTTGTGAAGAAAATGAACAGAAACTAAATGGACTGACAGACAGACCGACCGACAGCAGCAAAGCAATATGCCCGCCCTTCTATGAAGGGGGGCATAATTAGAATAAGTAATGGCATATAAGATATTTTGTGTGTGAAATGATGTGTTAATTTACGCATAGTCCTATAAAGAATCTCTTAAATATATGTTGAAATCAAAATTTATGCATTTAAATTACACAAAGAAAAAAATTTACAGAGTCATAAAAAATCAATTTGAAAACAAATAAATATTACCTTGATAAATTCATTAATGTAATTATATGTATATTGACAATTAATACATAAAATTCTACAGAATTCCTCTAATGCCCAATGCTACAAACAAGAGAGAGACATATAAAGAGATTCAACTGAGTACAGATAAAATTGAAATGTAGAAATCCAGGGATATTCCCCCTTCAAATATTAACAAAAATAGTTTTATTCTTGATTGCTTTAACATACATACATGTACATCTCACCATTGACTAATTTGTAGATGAACCGAGATCATTTTGTATAAAACTATTTTTACACTGAGTGTCTCATAAAAGTAGATTATTATAATACAGGATGCATTCAAAAAAAAAAATAATTTAACGATTTCTGATTTAAATGGACGGCAAAGCTGTATAATTTCTACACAATAAATTATATTTAAAATAAATAATAATATAGAATACAGATTTTTCTTTTTTAATATGATTGTGCTCGCCTTCAAACAGTTTAAAAATCTATCGTTCACAAAATTATAAAAGTTAAACATCAAAATTGCACATCATTTGAAATATGCATACATATGTAGGTATATAATAAATAGATAACAATTTATCACAGAACAAACAGGAAAGTTTTACATTACATTGTATGCACATGCACATATATTTAATAAATATTTATAATTTACATAAAACAAAACTTTTGCTTTTAAATTGTCAAGAAATTGATACACATAATTCTTGAATTATTTCCTTTTTATTTGAAAGTCAGTGCTTCTCAAAAAAGTCCATTAGGAACACAGTGACAAGTCATGAAAGCATATTATTTATAACTGTCCTTATAACAGAGATTTCCTTATAATCAGATTCTTTATAACAAGTTCTACTGTAAATTCCTAACATATGAATGAAGTGCATGGTTTAACAAAAATAAATGTTACCGCAAAGTATAGAATGAAGCTGAAATATAAGCATCATAAGACAGGCAAACTGAACAACAGCATGACACACATAATTTATGTTGATTTCCTGTGGTTTACATCATGCAGATTTTAGTTCAGTTTACCGCATATTAAATAAATTCACCATTCAAATGCCATGAATGTTTGCTTTGACATATGGTTATAAACCTAACTTTTTGTTTTTTTTCTTTTGTCTACCAATAAGCTTTCTTTTCTTTCCATTTCCCCTCTACCTATCAGAATATATTTATTCCAGTGATAAACTTGTTACACCATATCATCTTTCTCCTGGTATTCTGTATCCCCTGTTTTCTTCCGTGTCAGAACTTAATTCATTTCTTCACTAAATCTCATCCTATTTACCCTATGACCTCTCCTTGTTCACCCTATGGCCTCTCACTGTTCACCTATGACCTCTCGTTGTTTGATTTAGTCTGTGACACAGTTTCCTGAATTGAAGTCAGTGGTGGTTGGGGCCGGCCTGTTAAAAAGTAGGTCAGCATGTCCCCTTTACCTTTGACCTTGACCATTCCTCTACACTGGAGGGTGTAACCTTTGACAGAAAGAATGTTATACACCTCACTCGTGACCTACAAAATAAAATATTAGTATTGTATAACTTTTGCCTTTTTTTTTTATTTTTTAGCAAATATCAATGTCAAGTAGATAGTAAGACAAACAAAATTTGATTTTTTAAAAAGTTTTTTCCCTCTAGATAAACTTTTCTTGTTCCAACAATTTAAGTTTTTACTGATATTCCAAATCTAATACTTATATAAGCAGCTAGGTTAGCTGTCTGTTTAACAGATAATGTAGATATCTACCACCTAGCTGCCGACTTAAGCTGCTAGGATCTAGCTTGAATGCATCCCTGGTACCCGCCTGTATATACACCCCCCACCCGTACTTGTGTGTAATCTGGTACCCACCTGTATATAATCTGGTACCCCTGTACTGTCCATTCTACTGGCCACATTTACACTGTTGCCCCAGATATCATAATGAGGCTTTCGTGCTCCAATGACCCCGGCCACTACAGGACCAACATTCATACCTACAGGAAAAAGAGATTCTTAATAAAATGTGTTTCAATTATTAACTGCATATCAAAGATATAATTCCAGTTGAATTTTTACAATGATTTCAATATTTTTTTTGGAATCAAAATTTTTTGTTTTGGACAGTAAATACCCTATTCTATAATATTAAGCATTCTGAGAGTATTGCATTTAATTTATATATATTTAGCAGTACTAATAGGTCCACTACCAGCGAGTGTAATCTGGTTTCCATTAAAATTTTTAGAGTCTTAAGACATTTGAAATGATAGCAACTTTGCAGGCTCGGTCACTATCACTTTCTGTGTCTTCGGTTAATATCACTTTCCATCAGACCTTATAAACACATATTGACCTAAAGTGAAGTCCATAATTGTAAAATACATAGCACATGTCACATAGGTTACAGTTGTCCCTAAGTACAAAGCAACTCACCCACTCTCATCTTGAAGTTGTTAAATGAATGTTGATTGACGTTTTGAAGGAGATCTCTGATGGAGAAGGCGAACTCGGCCATGGCTACCACGTGACTCATGTCCGAGTAGTTGGTCTCGGGGGTCAGGCCCGAGGCCCCCATATAAGTGTATCCTATGGTTTTGATCTTTTCTATGCATCGAAATCTCTCTTGACCCAGAATCTGTATTCAAAGAAACAAAATACACACGAAATGATTCATAGACTGTATAACATCTATCGGAATATACATCAAAGAATATTTATACTGTATCAGCTAGAACATCTTTAAAATTTAATGGCAATCAAAAAATGGTTTCAAGTATAGTAAATAATTGCTATGAAAATAAGAATTCCTAAACCGAGTCATTAAATCATTAATTTGAACAATATCAAATTCTAACATATCAAACTAACAACCTTCAAGACACATTATGAAATATTTAGAGTTTTGATAATTAAACAAAATTTTAAGTTGTTGCTTATAAATACTAAAACAAATGTTCTTTTAGTTTTAATTTGACTAAATACAACTTTCATTCTGTCCATGCATGCTTACTCTCTAATAAGCAAATATTTTTTACCATACTTTATTTTTAAATTATACATTTTTTAGATTTAAAGGACATAATTAGTTACCTCATCGTAATCAGCGATGATCTCGTTAAGCAAACGAAGGCACTCCACTCCCTCATTATTTGCCTCCAATTCCTCCAGTTCAAACATGATACAGGCATTGTCACAGTCCTGGTAATACATTTCCTACAATGTAATATGATTTTGATAATGTACTTAAATACTAGGGATGTGTAATTTTATCGGTATACCGCTATATCGCGATTTTTTGTTGCGTGAAACATGATACAGGCATTTATATGTTCGTCTTTCAAATTACAATTACAGAAAATATAAAAAATGTTGTAAAAAGTCATAATTGATTTTATATACATAAAAATTTGAAATAACATACATTTCCATATAAAACAATGTAATAAGATTTTGATAATGTACTTAAATACATTCTTTTATGCATCAGTTGAAAATGATAAATTAAAAACACTATACAGAGACAAAAGGATTACAATATTGATAGCATTTTTGTGCATATTAGAATACAAAATTAGGAAAAAGGTGTGTCAACCCCAGATGTAAAGAAAATTAAAATAAAGGGGGGTGTGTGTGTGTTCCCAGCCCCCAAGTTCCTTACAATAAGATACTAAGCTTTTTTTTTAAAAACTGCACCCAACACTTGCCTCATCTTTTTTGAACTGAGTTTTAAGGAAATGTTCTGCCACATTAAGGGGTAAAATATTGGCTAACAGTCGTAGGTTATAGGCGCGTAAACTCTCCATCTCTTCCTTCTCTTCAGTAGCCTGTAAAAGTCAAACAACATACCGGTATATATCATGATATATGTATTTAAATTGTAGACATTTTGAATGGCTTTGAATATTATATATTCTAAAACTTTACCATATGTTAATGTATCATAAACATTAACAATAAGAGAGCTCTTGCCCTCAGTTTACAAAAAACAGTTTGTGTTTCTCGGGTGTGTTCAATTTGCTAATCCCTGCAAACATCTCTGAGCACAAACTGACAATACTGGTGGGTTGGTTTTGCTTTCTCACATTTCTAATCTGAATTTTTTATATTATTGTTTTAACATTTTTCATTAACTGTGAATACACAACAACATTTCTACTTTTCTTAAGTATTTAAGGATAAAGTTTACTTTGTGAAAATTAGAGTATGTACATACGTGTCAATCAAACATGTCCCGAAATTACTCTTTAATTCAAGAAAAAATGTTTCTAAACCTACTTTTATATTTTCATATGGAATGCTAAAGCAACATATATCCTGATATTATACAGAAAATTTGAAAATATCTTTTTCCTGCTCAGTGCTCTTATGTGAGAATATTTTACCTGAATTTTCCACAAGAAGTCTAAACGGGCAGTGGATTCCACTTGCTGAGCATGGATGGATAGAATAATGGTAAGCACAATGAACAGAATAATGGTCTCCCACTTCAGAGCAATGGAAGAACCTTTCTCATTTAAACTTCTCCTGCAACAAAAACAATTATTAGATAATTATTTTGTCATATTTCAATGGCATCAAGGTTAAAGCAAAATTTTATATCAAGTTAGCAAGAAGACAATGAACATTAATGTGAATGTAAACAAACAGGCCAGTCTCCCTTTGCTTTACCTTGTATGTGTAGAGAACTACAAATTTTCAAAAAAGCTAATGAATATGTTCTTTGACTTATGAAGTTTTCAAGTCATTACTACTAATGTTTATTTTATATAGATAAAACTTTGTTTTAGACATGGCTCAAAAGTGGTTGAGCTATATTTTTGCACGTAACTTTAAAACTATGGGGCATGGCTTACCCAAAATTGGCAATCTAAAAAGACATAATTCAAGGGCTTCAAGGTTAAAGCAAAATTTTATATCAAGTTAATGACCATATATTAAAACCAGACAGATGGCAGAAACATGGCTCAGGTGAGCTAAATATTACTAGCATGATGAGCTAAACTGAAGTTTAACTGACCAAATATTGGCTCAGATGAGCTAAAAGGAGGCCTGGCTTACCCAACATTTTCTTAGACAAAGACATGCCTCATGTGAGCTTAAAAGAAACCTGACTTTCCAATATTGGCTTGTTGAGGTATATGGAGACTTGATTTTTCTAACATTGCCTCAGAGACATGGTTCAGATGAGCTAAAAACCTGACTCATCCTACATTAGCTTAGATATGACTTAGGTGAGCTATAGGGAGGCTTGACTCAAATTAACAAATATTAGCTAAGAGCTATGTCTCTGGTAAGCTAAAAGAAGGCCCCATTTACCCAACATTGGCTCAGAGACGGCTCAGCTGAGCTATAGAGAGGCATTACTTAGCAAACATTGGCTCAGAGACACATGGCAGGTGAGCTAAAAAGAGGCCTGAATTATCCAATATTGGCTCAGAGACATGGCTCAGATAGACTACGAGGAGGCCTGACTTGAGGCAGGTGAGCTATAAGGAGGCCTGACTTGAGACAGGTGAGCTATAAGGAGGCCTGACTTGAGGCAGGTGAGCTATAAGGAGGCCTGACTTACCCAACATTGGCTCGGACTAGAATATCCCTGTTGTCAAACACTGAGATGAAGAAGACTTCTACGACAATCAGGTAAATGACAGACATGACACTTAACAGCACCATCTTTATCACACTGCTATTGTGGACAAAAACAGCGCAGGCCACCATGGATAGTACCACGCAAAAACTAAAATACTGCAATAAAGAGTACATAGAGGATTAATATGGTCAGCACCATGCAAAAACTAAAATACTGCAATAAAGTAATACACACACTATCTCTTAATTAGGTTCCTAATTAGTGCATGGAGAGGATAAACAAGTAATCTATTACAGTAATTAAAATACTTACTGAAAATAAAGTCAGTTCAAATTATATATCAAATTTTGAGATCTTTGAAAATTCGTTATAAAAGATGTAAATTTCATTATTTTTAACCTTTTCGGGACTCAAAATCAGTTTGCTATACCTGTAAATTTGTTATATCAGAGTTTGATATAACCATAAAAATTTACAGAATTGTTCAGAATTTTGCCAGAGACTTTGAAAACTTTGCTGTATCGCTGAATTTGCTATACCCCTCTTTGTAATAAACGAGATTAGCTGCATATATGAACTTAAATAATAAAAAAAAAATAAATAAAAAGCTCAACTACATAATGTTAATACTGTGGTGTTTTTTTTTTTTTTTTTTTACATTATTCCTCATCTTGCTGAAATGTCATAAACTAGGACCACCAGCCTCTTTATTACCTCCCTTGATTATGACAAAAGTACTGCTAATTATCCACTACACATGTACATAGGTTTTCAGATTGACACCTTGAACATTCTTGTTATTTTGTCAATGACAACTTTTATAATAATTTGGTATGGTTTGCTTTGTATGCCATTGAAGAAAATATATATATTTTTAAATTTACCCCAGACAACCTATTACCTCAGTCATAAGCATAGAAGGACAAAAAAAAAAACCTTGATAATTCTGTTACATCAGAAGTACTTTTCCTGTTAAATGGTATTTAAATTTCCAACTACAAAAGGTTTATGAACAAAATATTAATTACACTGATTATTAACACTCCATAGGCCCTAGGGATGAGTTTTGTACTTTATAAATATAGAAAAAAAACAAGACTTTTTTTATTACATCTATATGCACTGCTACTATATTGAAAGTACAAATTCTTAGCTTTTTCTAGTTGCATAATGTAATTGTTTTCCAATTTCCTAAGAGTGCAGGCTCAAAATGCTGCTTGCTTTTCTAGTTGTATAATGTAATGGTCCCCACTTTCCCAAAAGTGCAGGGACATTACACCTCATAATCTGTCTGTTTGTCAGTCACAAAAAAAATTAACCTTGGTCAAAACTCCTGAATAAAAACAGACACTGATAAGAATTTTATATTTTAAATGTGCGCATTACCTATAACATGATATTTTTTAATCTTTCATGAATTTTCATCTGAAGACCTTGGAAGTTTTCAGAAATCTTTCTGGTTGTCACAACTGTCCTGAGTTAAGACCAGCCAACTATAGTTAATTCTGATGGTGACCATCTCTGGTCAAAACCAGTCAACAACAAAAATTACAGCTGCATTCTCACCAAGTGTTGGTGATCTGTTTTATTCTTTAAGTTTGTTTGTATGTTGTCTAACAACCCTCTCAAGAATTTTTCAGATGTATGGAGATGCCACCCCTGGAGAGCTGCAAATTTTGTCCTATACTCTGCAATTTAGGCTATTGAGCAGAAAGGGATATTTTTCATGCTAGCTCCTACTTTGACATACATGTTGGACCTCTGTTTTTAAGGTCTCATCCGAAGGACCGATCTCCACATCCCACGGTGGGATTCCAACCTGCGCCATAAGGATCAACTCCTTACTTCGCGACGCTAGAGCAGATGCTCTAACCACTGTGCCAAGCAGGCAACATGTCTTTTTAAAGTTAAAATACTTTATAACTTCAGATACAGACCCTATTGAATACCATTCATTATCCACACATGGGAATCTTCCGAAAATTTAACCTCAAGGTGTCTAGTTTTTCTTTGTTTTGACCTTAATTACTGAAAACCAACTTTTATTTGTGTGCGAGAAATATCCATGTGTTTTGCAACCTTCTTTGCCTCAGGAATATTAATTACCAAGAACCATCTATTTTGCTTTGAGTTTTTAGAAAATATTTCCTCAATTGTGAAAATTAATTGGAGCTAAATGATTTCAAACTGATAAATTGCAAATAAAAGCTGATACGAATAATATTAATGCTTTACAGTATAAAGATCAACTTACTTCTGGAAAATGTGAGGTAGCTACAGTGGGGTGACAGACATTAACTTCTACCCCCATTGTGATGTTGGCAAGATTGATCAGTGAGATGTTGATGTGTTCTGTGTTATAGAGATTCTGTAGACAAGATACTAAATCACCAGTATCCAGCATAACCTGAAAAGAAAGAGGGGAAATAAGAAATTCTGAAATAAATACATGTATACCTGTACAGTTCATACTTATTGATATATACTAATATACAATTAATTACCCCTTTTGAGGTCAACATGGTGAAATAAGGTCCTTATTTCACAATGTTGAACTCACAAGGGGTAATCAATTGTTTTATTATACCTATATTTATTAAAAAGTATGAATCTCTAACCGTTGTGAATTCTTTCTTTGATCGGGATCAGGATTCGCTTATTAATATCAACCAAATATTGTTTTAATCAGTAAATCATGATGCAAAAACTTACATGACTTCAGACTTGAAGATGTCAATGTAAACAACTTCACTATACGGAGTGTTATTAGCAGTGATTAATTATAATGACCGGGTCATTATATCCCATGTGCAATGATTCCTATGTCATTATTGCTGTAAACAGTACCATTTGTAGTCATTGTTGTGTTTTAACATTTTCCTACCAGCCAATCAAATTCGAGTATTATCAATAGAGGTATAATAAAATATTATAAATGTAATGCTTATAAATAATAACAATGTGTTAACAATGTGTTAGCTTTCTTACTGGTGAGACGTACATGTGCCTTTGCATTGGTTTGATGTATGGTACATGTGAACCATATATTCTTAATGTTTCAGGCAAGGTACATGTACATAAACAACTGATAAAAGTAACTTACCATAGAAGTGAAGGCACTAACATACAGGCACATGGCAGCCAATACATAAACAAGCTCACTCAGCCATTTATGGACAGCTATTGTCGTGGCTACTTTCTGCAACACCCTCGGAGTACACTGTTTAATGAACAAAGTCCTTATTTCAAATAAAGTATATAATAATCAAATTTTTCTCCTATAAACTTGTAATGCTTTATTGACTCTTCAGTCAAAAAAAAAGTTACATGAATACTCCATAAAGCTTCTCTACAACATTTACTAATTATGCAATAATGCTCACATGACCCACAAATTTAAAATATTTATGATGATCCGAGTCCAAAAAAAGCCAATCCTCGCTAGTAATACTGGCACTCTGATGTGAATTTGGTATGGAAATACATGTATATACATGGATGAACAGAAAGTTAACACCAGATTGTAAAAAAATTAATCCCACAATTTGGTACAGTAAAACTCGTTTACTACGAACACGGATATTGTGAATTTACGGATATACATGTGTAGCGAAGTCAAATTGGATCCCCAGCTATATAAATTTTAACGAATTTCTCATATGGTTAAAACAAATTATGGATATAGCAAAGTAATTTCATAGGTCCCAGTGACTTCGTTTTAACCGAGTTTTGCTGTACGTTGAAACAAAGAGTGTGCTAAAAATTCAGGCATCTACAAAGAGTAGTTGCTAATAAAACTGCGATAAAAATTTATGACAGACAGAACAAATGCAAGGGTAAAAACATTATACCCCTCCCCTTTGGAGCTGGGGTATAAAAAAACTTACCATAAATTTTTCACAGAAAACCAAGAGGAACAGAAACGTGGTAATGGTGACCGTGAAAGGAAACAAAAAGATCATCATAATGGAACTGAAATGGAGAAAAAAAATCCTCTGTCAATGTGTGAGATCATTTTTACTACTTGTGCATTAAAATACTATAATGAAAAAATTGAGGATAACAAACGGTGATCAACCTCATAAAAACTTCAAACAATACAACTCTGTAAACAGGGCATAAACACGGATCCCACAAAATTTTAGAGTTGGGATCAGGTGCCAAGGAAGGGTAAGCATCCCCTGATCTTTTTAAAACATGTGAATGTTTTCACATCATAAAGATTTATGCTCCAATTTCAAAGCAAGAAATATTCCCTGTGAGTTCTGAGCTGCCATTAAAATTTTCCTCTGGCTCCAAATCAAATACTGGGCTTCAGCTTCCATGGACTCTTCTACTACTAACTATGTATGAAGGCATACAATGATTTTGAGTTGTAAAGTCTTTAAAATTATTGAAGTTATTCTTAAAATATCTACCTGTGATGATAATTAGTACTTTTATCCCCTATTTCTATTGGGGGGAAAAATTGACATTTCAAATTTTTACAATGTAGCAAAGGGCAATAAGATGTGTTTGCGAAAATATAAAAGAAACTTTGATTGCTTGAAATATTTCGTGGTTGACCACACATTGAAAGTCTGTTGGAAATTCAGTATCATTAAAAATTTCACCCGATAGTAAAATTTATCCCCTTTAAATATGCCTGGCTCTACAATTAATACTAATCAATTCTTAAATAAATCAACCTTAAAATTTATCCAACTCATTGTGATTGGTTGGTTAAATAATTATGTTTTGATACCTTATTTTTGATAGGCTCATAAAAAATGATTATAATATTTTGTTTATACCTTATTTTGATTGGTTCTATGAGTCAAACCTTCTGACCAATCAAATGATAGATTAGTTCTATGAGTCAAACCCTCTGACCAATCAGATGATAGATACTTACTGAGGAAAAATGACAAGTTGAATGGCACAAATTAAGATGAGCAAGATAAGATTACAAGCCAGATGTGATACAAACATGGTATCACGGACTCGGTGAAACTGTAAAAGGTGAAAAAGGTGCAGGTTAGTAAATAACAGGTGCTCAAATAATTAAACCAAAAAACAAAGGTGAATGTTAATCAAATTAATAAAAAAAAAAATAATGTGGATACGAGTATAATTCTAAATTTTCTAAAGTTGACTAAAAGATATAGAACTATATTATTAATCAATTAAAATCAAAATTTCTAAAATACCCGACCTACCCTACATTTTACCCTCCGACCCTAAAAGTTTTTATTACATTTTCATTTTTTGGGTGACTATTTTCCTAAAATACTAAACAAATTCTTGTGACCACACAATATATACAGAACTAATAATCACAAGTGTACAGGATACCTTTACTTTATTAATCTTGATTAACAAACTTGCTTTGTAAACTGTTAACATATCATTTTCTTGTTATTACATGATATATGTTCTGCATTCATTGAGTTTTCAAAATAAAATTTTTTCCCTACCTACCTACCCTAATTTTTGTGGTCAGGGGACAGGAAACAAGAATATATTTTCTTTTGGCCTAATGGTGAATTAGTGACCAGCATTTTTTTCAAATAAAGATTCATGAAGAATTATATTAAAAGAAATTGTAATGTGACCACTGTATTGTGATATATATATCACTGCAGGGCATCTGTAACAATTAATTCAACCTAAGTGATCTTACTGTATACAGGGTTATTTTCGCCCCATCTTATTTTTGCTCTTCCAGTCTTGCAAACAATTCTGCTCCATTTTAAATTCGCCCATGCACTGTTTCGTTTAAGAAATTATACTGTGTTCTTTTAATTCGCCCCGTTTTAAATTTGCCCACCTGTTAGTAGGGCGAAAGGGGCGAAAATAAAACGGGGGCGAAAATTTCCCTGTATACAGTATTAATTGTACAATCTTTGATTCTAAGCAAAAATACCACCAAAACTGAAATAAAAAAAAATTTAAAAACTCAATAATTATGGAAAAAATTGTATAACTACATAAAATAACATAAAAATTAGTAAAGTTTTACCTTCTCTTCTAAATCAGTCTTCAAGAATTTGAGCGGAAAGACTTTGACGTGCTCTGAGCGGAGTCGGTCGATGCTTCGAGCGTCGATGGCTCGACCCAGATATTCATTGACCTCCTCATCAGGATCTTTGGTTTCCATGTTGTCTCCAAACCCCAGCCTTAAGAGAAGACAAATACATAATTCTAGGCATGAAAAGATCAGTGCTGAATCAGATCTGAGGATTTTTCAACAGAGAGAACATTTGCAAGCACTTGCTAAAATTCCTTATACCTCCAACAGAAATGTTCGCGAGCTCTCGCTCTGTTGAACAGGCCTCTGGTTTAACATAAAATCCTTACATTACAATAATTGTCGAATAGAATGACCTTCTTGCACAAATTAGAACAAGGAAAATTCATCTTCATCAACTTTATTATTTTTCTTTTACCAATATCAAGCTATTTTATGATGCAATCCATTTTCAAAGTGTTATACTCCTACTTCAAAGTTCTATGGCAAAAGCCATTTTCTATGATTGGTCTAAAATTATATTAACACATCTGACATTTTTTACCCACTTGGCAGTGGCCATATTCTATCCAAAATTACATTATTTTATACCCACTTGTTATGAATGTTGGCATTCCTATCGTTATTGTACCCCATAAGCTTCATGTCTTTGGATGTTCCGTGAATGGCCAGAGAGTTCCTACTTCTCATGTTTGGCAACGTCTTGGGTTTTCCCTGCAAAAACAATCATATCCATCAGGCCATCAAAAATAAAAATAATGTTTGCTTGCCCTACCCTGACCCAGAGAAAAATTATTGAGTCAGTAGGTAGGTGGAAAAATCTTTTTTCCAAAAAATTTTAACAAAAAAAGTTTTGAGTCAGACCATTTGTAGTCAGTCAGTCGGGAAGAGGACAACCGAACAAATTTTTCAAAAATGGCTTCATCTAGACTAATTCCTTTCATATGACTCATATTTCATCAAAGAACAGTATTAAGATTAATGAAAAGTAAAACTAAAAAAATAGATGCACGTTTGACATGAAACTTGGAATGTCTTTTAAAGCTCTGATCTTTTGATTTATATTATCTGCCATTAACAGCTGGCTTTACATTAATGCACATGGATCAGAGGTGACCATAAATGTCTCAATCAAAAAATCTGAATAAAAGAAGATGCTTATTTGGCATGAAACTTGGATCCATTTAATTTTATAAAGCTCTGATCTTTTTTATTACACTTCCCACCCTTTTTAATACCTCTGCTCTTTATTCAATATCTTTTTATAAGCTGCCTTTACCCTGGTTTTATGCGGATCAGCGACGATCAGAAATGTCTCGATCTTGTTCTCCTTAATGAAGGCATTTCTCTCCACTCCGTTTCCAGGTTCTACGTCGTATTCTCCATGGAGACAGTGTAACGTTTCCTTGGTGATGTGAACTCTCCTGAAAGGATCATTTATTACACAATACTGTCCTTAATTTTTTAAAGTATATTAATATACCTGTTCCTGTACCTCTGTGCAACTCATTTGACTTCTGTCTCTAATTGGCCATTTACTGTAAAATCATTAATTTCCGAGGGGGGTTAAATTTTTGTCGTTTATCTGAGGCATGATGAGACCCATGACATTAATGTGATCCATCAGTAATGTAAAATTCCATGATATACATATTACTATGCAACATTTATTTATTCATGAAATCAAATATCCACAAACCCAATGGCATATTTATGCCTAAATCCTCAAAGCTTGAATCTATATCAGGCAATGGCAGACAGATTTTGGGTTTAATTAAATTCCAATATTTGGATTTTTTTTCAGAGTATATTTTCACATTTTCTTTTTTGAAATCAGTCATAAGCAACTCTCTTAAAAGATTTCATGTTTCTATACACTCCACAATTCAGTAAGATTTCATGTTTTTATACATACCCTGGAACTCCACCTGCCTCCATATTGTTGGCTAGTGTCACATCATTGGACCAGACATCAAACTGCCACTTCCGGAGACCTATGACCCCACAATGGACACGCCCACTGTGAATTCCCACCCTCATATTGACCTCCACCCCTGTCACATTCCTCACTAACCTAGAAAACAGAGGTCAAGGTCAAATTAAATCTATATATTAACTAATCAAGATTCATTAATTCAATCAGCTGTGACACCTTCTGTTTACATAAACATGCATGTTGATTAATTTCTTTCGCAGTGCCAATCAATACTCTGACAAAATAATGTACATGCTGCATTGGCCTTGATTAATCTACCTGAAATTAAGACTGTTATTAAACAGACTCGAAAATTGATGAAATCTGACAACTGGTAAAAAGCAAACTTGATGGTATATAGTGCATACGAGATAGTATATAGTAATTATGGGATACTATAGTACATACAAGATAGCATAGTTCAAAAAGATAGTATAGTGTACTGATTGTAGAATATATATTTGAGATAGCATAGTATAACGAGATAGCATACTGTGGTTTCATCAATTTTCGTTGGCATCAATTTTTGTGGATTTCGTAAAACAGATGTTTTCAAGGATACGTAATTTCATGGACAAAAGCAGTGCTTATACACAAATGAATAACACATTTCTTAATTCAATGAACATTGGACATATGAGATCTCAAAAACGAAATATTGGTGCTCAACAATTATTGATGAAACCACAGTATTGCAAACAAGATTGTAAATATAAATACATATGAGACAGCATAGTACATTCGAATTCAGTATATATGAGATAGTATAGTACATACCAGATAGTATAGTATCTACCAGACAGTATTATAATAGTACATACGAGATAGCATCAATCATGTCCAGTCCCATCTCGACACAGCACTGGGCGTGGTCAGGACGGGGCTCAGGAAGTCCGCTCACACAGTAGTAACAGTCTCCAAGGATCTTAATTCTCAGACAGTGGTTGTCAGCGGCCAAGCGGTCAAATCGTGCGAACAGTTCATTGAGAAGCTGCACGAGCTCCTGGGCTGTACACTGAGAGGACAACTGAGTGAATCCACACATGTCAGCAAACAGGATACTACAAATAAAAATAAGTCAAGCTATCAAAATCAATACTTGATATCATGATTACTTTACTTAGGGGAACTTTTGGAAAGAATGTTTCCACTTAAGCATAGTGCCGTGGCCCCTTTTTTGGACCCCTCTAACTTTATCTAATTAACTCAAATGTTAATAATTTTACACCTAACCGATATTTTGTTATCAGTGTGGTACATTACTTGCAAAAATTTTCATTGAAAACGGCGCTTTAGTTTTATTTAAGGTAATTAAAAAAGCCCTCTAGTGGATGTGAATTCCGGAATGTTGCGCTTATCCGAGTTGGGTTTTAATTGTGTCACATTAATATTCGGAGTAGGCGGGGCATTTTATCGATCTGTTGGAAACATGTATAAATATCCAGTTATAATGGCTACAAAATACACGGAGAACTTCTCAAGCTTTACGCCAGTTTTTTTGTTGTTTGATTTTTTTTTTGGGGGGGGGGGGGGGCGCTGAGGATCTTCGTCCCTTCCCTCCCTAAATACAGATTTTCCCCTCAATTTTAGTCGTTTCTAGGTGAAAATTAAACACTTAAGATAAACTGATAAAGGAAGCCTACAAGTCTGTAAATAAAAACAGAATAAAATCCCATATTAAAAAGGAAAAAAAAAACTTCTTTTGTATTTTCTAAAAGATTAGTGCCGAATTTATTAAATCTCTCTCTCTCTCTCTCCATACTTTTAAAAGTACAGTTTATACTTGGTACATAAAATGGTACACAAAAATTTTTTGTAGTTGTCATGCTGCGTGTGGTGATATTTTATTGCTAAAACAATTTTATTAATTGTATGTGTGATTGTTTTTGTTGTTGTTGTTTGTTTGCTTGTTTTTTTTGGGGGGGGGGGGGGGGGGGGGGGGGGGGGGGGGGGGGGGGGTCCCAAAAAGCATTCCAGTTATGGTATTGCGACGATTGGGATTTGAAATTCTTTGACCCTCCAAATGTGCCCCCTAAGTCCAAGGACTAAAATAAAAAACCATTACGTAATTTCCAATTTATATTCCATTACCCTATAAAAAATTTACTAAACCGAAAAAAAAGAATTCGATGTTGATTAATTGAAAATGTACAGTTGAATTAGTCGCTTTTTGATGCAGCGTTATCAATCGGAGCTACAGCCACGTGATTTATTGATTTTTTTTGTATTCACAAAGTTACCTGAGTCTACAATCACGTGATAAATTGGAATACTAAACAGGTCACAATGAGGTCAATGACATGTAAATACCCGTAAATAGCGTAGAAAACGGTCGGAGTTTTGTACCTTTTTCAAAATGTTTACCCCCAGCGCAGGCTTGCCCAAAATTCTCCTTTAAATATGTTGTATTTCCAACAGTTCTACACCTTCTGTCCTTTTGAGAAATTTGGGCAAGAATGCGCTCACTATGTATCCCAGCTTTAAAGATCGGAATAACTTTGAATAACAATAGAAATTCATGGATTGCAGTGACCCCTCTTACAAAACACAGCCTCGTTCTTCAATTTTACTAACTTTTAATTCCTGTAATTTTGCAAAAATGCGATTAAGACCCAGAAGAATTGCTTTATTAATCTCATTAGGCTATTTTCTATACTTTATTTTTGCACAATTTACCGGGGACCACTTTTTGTACACTAAGTGCAATCATTCTTTTGTCACTGGATGATGGTATATTGAATATTTTCTTAAGTTGCACATAATTGATAAATAAAGTCAAATATCATAGTCAATATTTTGATACATTTATAGCAATGTGGTCTTATTAATGGTACATTCCCTATAATACTCTCTCAGAATAAAGGTAACACAATGACATTAAACATGTAACTATATAACTTGATTTCTATTTTGAAATTTTAAATACTGTATACAGGGAAATTTTCGCCCCTTTCGCACTTGTCACAAGTGGGCAAATTTAAAACAGGGCGAATTCAAAGAACTCCATATAAATTCTTAAACCTAACTGTGACAGGGCGAATTTAAAATGGCCGGGGCAAAATTCTTAGTAAGTGCAAAAGGGCGAAAATAACATGGGGCAAAATAACCCTGTATACAGTATTGCTTTTATTATCTTTAAATTTTGTCTTGCCAAACTCTCGAAAAAATAATATATCAAATGTACATGTATACAGCCCTTTCTAAGTGAGTCCATAAATATATTGACCCCAAAAGAAAAGCATATCAACCTCACACTTCATACTCGGTCCATATGTACTTTTCTGTGAAGTCAATATATTTATGGATTGACCTCAAGAAAGGGCTATATTTGTATAATTAATTTGATGACTAACTATTTTTAAAAGAATGGGATATATCTGACACCAGATGATGATTTATTAAATTCATTGATTGATAATGAAAGAAATAAATCACACAAAAGCTGATGCTAGCCTTATGTGGCAGAAATGTCATTATGGATGACAATGCTTATAATACACAGGGTATAATAGTATAACAATAAGCTGTCAGACTCGGAATGATTTCTATTACTCTTGAGAACAGGAACCAAAAAGGTGTATTGAAATTTGATTCAATAGCACCAAGTTGGATTATTGTTGTGCTTCAAGGCATCTTCTTTGGCTAAATACCATTAAGGTATTCTACTGAGAATTATTTCTGTAATAAAATATTGAAGTAAAGTACTGGAATTCACAAGTATAGGATTGTAATACTAGTAAAGAGATTTGAATGAATTGATGGAGGAAAGAAAACTATAACGCCAAACTGATCTAATACATTGTATCTCTGCATGGCAATTCTATAAAGTTCGAGATAGAGGTTTGATTGTAGATTAAGTTTTAAAAATCAGGGACCTGTTTTACAAAAGAACTTACAACTAAGACCCAAACCTTGAGTGGATTGAGAAATTTTGTTAAATTAATGATTTTCTTTGAATTTGTGGGCATAAATATATCTTACAAAATTCCTTTCAGAAGATAAAAACTATTTCCAAATCTGTGTAAAATAGAAAGTTATGAGCAAACTTAAATTTTGGTCTTAGTTGTAAGTTCTTTTGTAAAATGGGCCCCTGTATTTTTTCAACAAAATCAACACCATATATAATATACACCTTTGCTAGATATAATTTATCTGAAATCCTCAGGCTCAAGCGATCATAGTTACAGTATGTACTGTATAGCGGATTATTTCAGCGGGGTGCTAATTTTGGCTTATTTTGGCGTTTTAATGATAGTCCGACTCCACTAAAATTTTAATCGCTGAAATAGTCAGTACTCTTCTTAATGTCCATCTGCAAAGAGCTGAAACCTATTAAAAATTATTGGCATACCGTTAAGTAAGCAAAACGCCAAAATTTTACACCAGCCAAGAAAACCCGCTATATGGTATACAGTAACTATATATGTTTAGAATTCTTGCTTTGATTTTCCTTATGATTGCAACTTTCACCCTCTGATGCATTTCTGGAAATATTCTGTTAATGCATGACTATAATCATGTTAAATGATGACCCAACCTTGCCTTTCACCTAATAGAACTTTAGTAAACTGCACAGATATCTGATCTGGGATGGATAATAAAGGAGGGTTTTCATGTCTTCTTTAGTAATCAGTGCTTGAAATTCTGGTTATAGAAGTTATATCAATTTCTCTGTCTGCCAACCTGACGAACAAATATTATTTTAACTGCAAAAGTCAACAGCTATTCAAATATTGGACGTCCTTGATTTCTTCTATTGACAAGCTCGCACATCCAACTGTCTGTCAAGGTGTTGCACAAGATTTTCATCATTCAATGATTCATCAGTAGAATTTATTGTCAAAATACACTAATATGGGATTATGAGGTAAAAGGGGTTAGGAAAAAAACATATTCTTGGCAAACATATTCATACATGTACCTCTTCCTAAATTTAACAATAAAAATGGTCTTATTTGACAATCTGATCCTATACACTCCAGGGTATAGATTGTCCATCATAGTTTGACACGAGAGAGAGAGAGAGAGAGAGAGAGAGAGAGAGAGAGAGAGAGAGAGAGAGGGAGGTGAGAGAGAAAGAAAGAGTAAGCCAGTGAACACTTATTAGGTTCCATGTTTTACAGTTTAACTGTGATCCCTCTAAACATGCAATCATACCTGACATTTTCATGTCTCTGTATATAGATTTTGTGAAACATGGTATCTTTCGTGTTTCCTGCAATATCAGCCTTCATCTCCATGGCAACATGCCTCGGTAACACCGACAATAGAAGTCTCTCCTACAACAAAAGATGAAAAATAAGAATCATTTCATGTCCAATTGATTCGATCAACAAGCCAGAAGTCAAAGTGCCGAGACAAACAATTTTGCTTTGCTATAAACTTAATTTGTTATCATGGTTATAGTGTTAAGTTCACTATATACATCAATCTGATACGTGTATATGAAAGTCAAATTGGGAATAAAACTAACTATGCTGTAAGCATCAGTTCATTGTAATGGTTGTAGGTATCTGTGGTACTGTAGATTCCTTATTTTTCGAGAGTACTTATTATAGCGAACTGGCTCTTTAACGTCAAATCGCAAGAATAATATTTCGCAAATGGACGGTTAATCGACAGAATTTACATGAATTTCAACACCATAAAAATAAAAGCGAGTAATTTTATTTCTCGAGTGATTCTTCTTGCGAAATTACGCGGAAATTAATTCCTCACGTATAATTAGGAATCTACGGTATAAGCAAGTTTTACTGTATTTCATTGCTGTTTTTTCTATGTATACACCTTTTCCTGGTGCTACATTCCTGTTTTTGGTGCAACCTGAACATACAATACTTTTCTTGATCCTGTCATAACTACCTGGTACTACTTTTTCACACCCATTTTTGGTGCTACCTGTATTTATTGTACATTGGTGTACTTTTTCACACCTTTTCTTGGTTTTTACCTGTACATTCTTGCTCTTGATGCTACCTACCATAAATCTGGAAATTTTTATGTCAATTTTATTTTGCAAATCTGGATCAAAATGCTGTTGATTAATTTTTATGTTTCAAAATTTTGCGACGACCCCTACTTTGTTTACATTTTTTTATTGTTGAATTATTTTTAAGAAAAATATTTTTGTGAATTCAGTGAACTTGCAAATATGCTAAAAATTTATCTACAGCAAAAATTTCCAGATTTAAGGCCAAAATAAAATTATAGTTTGTTTGGAATTGCCGCCCGCCTCATTGAAATACCCCCCGCCCAAAAAATTTTATTGGCAAAATATTGGAAATATTTTTTTTACCGTCTTATGTCAGACATTGCTTTTTACAAGTTAGTTCGTTCTTCGAAATAGTTTTTTAAAGTCGGGTTTGAGCTCACATAAATTTAACAACACCGGTCAATAAAACGCTTTCTTCATAGTATTTATGATATAGGGAATATAGGTGGTGATTTGACAAAAAGAAAGCCGCCAAAATGTCAGACCAAGTTGGATCAGTGGATGTGAAAACATTCAAGCGTTGAAGACCAGAACATTTATGCATCTTCATAAAAATAAAAGGTGAATAAAAATTTAAATGGAATGATACACCGATACCTGGAAAGAGCTATTGTAATAGATTGCCCTTTGAACTTGATAGGATAAGTCCCGTCATGTTGAAATTGAAAATGATCGTTCAGTTCCCAGTTAAAAAATTACATGGGTCAGAAATGTTTATTCCCAAATACAAAAAGAAAAATGTTGTCTGTCAGTATGAAAAGTCTTTGAAACTTAGTGTTAGAACTGATTCATGGCGAACACTCTAGAACATACCTAGCACCCCCCTCCCGTTTTTCCACAAAACATTCCAACTATTCATAAGAAATTTTGTGTGGTTCGCACTCTTTGTAAGGGTTGTCTTAATGAAGGGCTAAATTTCAAAGAGAAATGTTATGAAATAAACTAATGAAATTGTTTTAAAAAGATTTGTAAAGAAATTGTTTTAAAAAGATTTTTAAAATAAAGAAAAAAGTTTGACGCTGAAAGAGCTCTTTGACTTTCAATAGATAAGCAAATCTAACATCGAAGAAAGATTGATACTTGAGTCTCGTTCTGTGTATAATTTAGACAAAAATGATATTAATCAAATAAAACAAAGAGGGAAATTAACGAAAATCACCACTGTTCATTGTGATTTTTAGTTTCTATTTATTAGCTTCAATTTGCAAAAAAAAAAAAAAAAAAATTCCCTCCCTCCCTCCTGGGTCTGAAAACCCCCAGGCGGCAATTCCAAACAAACATTTTTTTAAGGATGGCCTAAGGTATATATGTAGTTGTACTTACTTCTACCTTTGTGTATACCTTCTTGGTTTCTACCTTTAGGTTATACCTGTTCTTGGTTCTCTCTCTGTGTTGTCAATCGGGCCTCAATGCAGCGTCTGGTCTCTAAAAATGCTTGCCTTTGGGCCTGCTCCGTTGGGTAATGGGTAAAAATTCCAGCAACATTTACAGACACAAATATTAGGACATTACTCAGCAGCTGAAAGAGTGAGAATAAAATAAAACCAGATGGACAGACATTCCGATCACTATATAAGTTCACCCAGAAAGTTCATCAATACTAAAATATATGCTATATTTTTTTCAAATATGTCACAATTAAAACAACAGTTTGTGACTTACCTGTTTCCATATAAAGGAATCACCAATATTCCGACCTAGAGTGCAACCTAAATGAATTAACGCTACAAGAAATCCGGAAATCACAGACATTCGCATCCTTATCGGCAGCATGGTGTATATGAGGTATATAAAAATAACTGTACACCACACTCCATCACTCACTGTCCGGGGGTCACTATCCAGGGTTATCAAAATTGTAATCCCACAAATTAGAGCCAGAATGATGTACGAAACAATCACCATTTGCTGTTGGTCAAAAGACCCTTTGTTACATACGACTTGTAACACGATCAAGGCAAAGAAAATGATCCCCAAATTGATCCCCCTGGCGGGGAGGGTAGCACCGCTGATGTAATAAAAAATAATTAACAGGACGCTAACTACACTCAATACTCCCATCAAGATTGTCAAATTGTTCTGGTTCAGTTTGAAGAAGTACCTCTGGTAAAGTCTCTCTAGCTTAGGGTCGGCGAATTTTTTGGACCTCAACACTTTTGACACTGAGGAAATGTCTAAGCACTTTGACATTTTCGGCTGTTGGACATTTTGTAAGTGCTCAATTCTGGTTTCTGTCGATGCCGCCTTTCCCTCTCGGTACCTCACTTTCACTTTGTCCCATGCCGATTTGTGGGCAGGTCTGGAAGACGCTTCTTGGGCAGGGTCCACGGGAGCGACTTTTACCTTACGTATGTGAATTCCTCCCGCAGGTTTGGCTTTACTCTCACTGTTTCCCAGACTTCCAGTGCGCTCTGAATTCCCAGCCATTGTTATTTTTGGAGTCAGTGAACTAAACTTTCTGACTTATGAACTTGTTAACATGGGCAGTTTATCTGTTCATATACTGAAGAAGTCCCAAGTATGTATGTCCACCTCATTATTATTCATATCCTGGGTTCAGGCACCATTTAACCCATTCTGTTTATAGTTTAGAAATTTCCATCATATCCAAAATTTACTCGCTACGTCAAAGATGAGAGCTGTATCAAGAAAGAAACATCACAAATAATATGCTTCAACTGTTTCCTGTGAAAAAAATTAATTGTTTCTAGTTAAGTTTAATAACTGAACCACTTTAATCAAATGCTCTACCAAGTGAGCTTTCAGCTAGCCATCAGGATCAAACCTGGCTCACCCTTTATCCTTTTTTTCTCTCCATGTACATTTGATGCCATGCCTTACTGACAAGTGAATAATCTTTAGAAATGGAGGAATGTGGCAATTAGGCACTGGTTAGATTGCTATGCTGTGGCCAGAAGCTTCTTCTGGTGTTTAATTAAAAGGGAAATATGTGTTTAATGCAAATGAAAACTTAATCAAAACTCTGAGCTGTGCTGGAAAACTTGTCACGCAATTAAGCAAGTAAGGCCAAACAAAAAAATAACGTTGTTTACTGTTACATGCTGAAATAAAATAGGGTCGGTAGGTAGGATTTTTTTTTAATTTTATTGAATTTTTTTAATACACAAATTCACATGAATTGGTTGAATTACAAAACAGTTTTACCATTGTACCGTGCCTTAATTTTGTTTGGGCTTGTAATATGGGTGGTAGACAATATAATCTTTCTTGCGAACTGCCTTACAACTCAGGGGTGTGCAATTAAACAAGATGCCCATGGGCCACATCGCTCACCTGAGAAGCTTTGGCCATTCTGTTCTTTACCAGATTTCCCCCTTGTAATACATATTGTGACCCCACCCTACCCCACTGATCATAATTTAAACAATTTGAAATCTACACTACCCCAGTATGCTTCCATATAAGTTTCAGCTTTGATTTTCAGCTTTTTTCTATAAATTTCTATATAAAACATTGATTCCCCATTGTGGCCCCGCCCTACCCCTGGGGGTCATGATTTGAACAATTTAGAATCTACACTACCCAAGGATGCTTCCACATAAGTTTCAGCTTTTCTGGCCCAGTGGTTCTTGAGAAGAAGATTTTCAAAGATTTTTCCTATATATTTCTATGTAAAACATTGATTCCCCATTGTGGCCCCGCCCAACCCCCGGGGGTCATGATCTGAACAATTTAGAATCTACACTACCCCAGGATGCTTCCAAGTAAGGTTCAGCTTCTCTGGCTTAGTGGTTCTTGAGAAGAAGATTTTCAAAGATTTTTCCTATATATTTCTATGTAAAACATTGATTCCACATTGTGGCCCCGCCCAACCCCCGGGGGTCATGATTTGAACAATTTAGAATCTACACTACCCCAGGATGCTTCCAAATAAGTTTCAGCTTCTCTGGCTTAGTGGTTCTTGAGAAGAAGATTTTCAAAGATTTTTCCTATATATTTCTATGTAAAACATCGATTCCCCATTGTGGCCCCGCCCTACCCCTGGGGGTCATGATTTGAACAATTTAGAATCTACACTACCCAAGGATGCTTCCAGATAAGTTTCAGCTTTTCTGGCCCAGTGGTTCTTGAGAAGAAGATTTTCAAAGATTTTTCCTTTATATTTCTATGTAAAACATTGATTCCACATTGTGGCCCCGCCCAACCCCTGGGGGTCATGATTTGAACAATTTAGAATCTACACTACCCAAGGATGCTTCCAGATAAGTTTCAGCTTTTCTGGCCCAGTGGTTCTTGAGAAGAAGATTTTCAAAGATTTTTCCTTTATATTTCTATGTAAAACTTTGATTCCCCATTGTGGCCCCGCCCTATCCCCGGGGGTCATGATTTGAACAATTTAGAATCTACACTACCCCAGGATGCTTTCACATAAGTTTCAGCTTTACTGGCCCTGTGGTTCTTGAGAAGAAGATTTTTTAATGACCCAACCCTATTTTTGTCTTTTCTTGATTATCTCCCCTTGCGAGGGGATATGTCCCTTCATTTTAACAACTTAAATTCCCCTTCACCCAAGGATGCTTTGTACCAAGTTTGGTCGAAATTGGCCCTGTGGTTCTTGAGAAGAAGTCGAAAATGTGAAAAGTTTACAGACGGACGGACTGACAGACAGACGGACAGACGGACGGCGGACAAAATGTGATCAGAAAAGCTCACTTGAGCCTTCGGCTCAGGTGAGCTAAAAAAAATCAAGTACTAACCCACAGGCTTGTAACAACAATAAAGTTATTAGTCCGAAGTTAAAAGTGATCAGTCCAAATATTGGGGCAAAAAACTGTAAATACTAATATTTTAACAAGTTCATAGTTGAGAAAGCTAGGGTCCTAAGCCATTCCTTTTAAAGTTGACGTTTAAAACTTTTAAGAAATTATCTTTTCTTTTCTGAACATATTGCACTACTCTAGCTTATCTAAAACGAAGCAAAAATCATTTTATTTTCATTTCAAACCATTAAGTATAATTGATATATATTAAAGTTTAATCACATAACACTTAGCTATCATTTGATTTGGGGATCGTATATAATTGAAAGAGATATCTGCATGTATTTACCATTAACAGAGGAATGGAGGAAATTCGGATTAGGAAAAAACGATCGTTTTTTTTAGTAAATAAGTCAGGTAGTACTGCAAAATGGATGAGATTAAAGTGATTTAAGAGCAGTAGGAGCATGCTGCCTGGAAAATTTTCATTAGTTGGAAATTAAATAGCAAAACAATGAGTGAAAATATCGTTTGTGTTTCTCATGTATTTACATGCATAATTTTAATTTTACTTTTACTACCCCCCAAAAAACGGTAGCTCCGGGTGTTGGGCAATGCTAGTTGCACACCCCTGCAACTGCCACGCAATGGTAAGCAAATTGCAACGAACTCGTTGATGTAGAAATTGAAAGTTCTCACTTGTTTTGTTTTTGTACTTTCAATTTCGATTTCAAAGATGAATGTAAAAGTTAAACTGACCGGCCAGTAACTTCCGGATTTTTATTACGAAAAAAAAGTTTGGGTCGGCGATTAAAATTAGGGTCGGTCGGGTAACCGTAAACAAACATATTTTTTTGTTACGCCTAAAACAAATCAGCATTTTTTTTTTTTTACTATCTGCAGAGATTTTTTCTTATTTTTTTTTTTGAGGTGGGGGGGGCATTTGTTTTTATTTTTACACAAATGTTGGATTATTGAGCACAGAATGACCTTTCAACATCTGCATGGAATCTAATTAAAAACCATGTGAACCACTGGTTTCGAAAAAAAAAAAACCAAGACAGTCTTTAGTAAACATTCAGAATCATTATATGAATTAAGTTTTGAACCATGCGGGAACTACATGTGGGTCTGGGGTATTCCCAGCACATTAAATAAACTAATAGATGTTTTTATCTTTCAGATTGTGATAATTAATATGGAAAATAAATGTTGTAAATAAGGTCACGTCTCTATTATCACGATTATTTTTGGCCTAAGCAAAAAATGTAAAATGTCAATGAACTTAAAAATTTGTTAAGAATATAAAAACATTATAAAGCCTTATTTTCTATTCAAAATATTGCAAAAACAAAGGATGAACTCCCATATCTTATGTTCGTGGCCTTTTTTTCTATTAATAATGACAAATGTCATTTTCAACCTATAATCATTGTAACAATTTTCAAATAAGAGTGAATAAAAATAAAAATAACTTTCTGAAAAGATTCAATAGTTAGAATAGTTTATCATGTTTATTTATGAGGAATGACATACCTCATTATTTTTTATTTTTCAGACCCTGAAATCATTTAAAATGATTACAGTTTTTCTAGAAGAAATGTCTACTACTCTTTTATAGCAAAATGAAAGCATTAAATGCTTAAAATACATGCACCTAATATTACATACTGTACAGAATTATTTGAAGAAATTGACAAAATTCGAAGATTTTGACTAAATTAATCAATAATTAAATAGACCGAGGTGCTAACAGACATTAAACAGAGAAAAAACTTGGAATGGTCTGAGCTTTTAAAGAAACAATATTCATATACCTAAGCAGTCTACTTTTGAAAGATTACTGTATATAAACTGAAATTACCTTCTTAAACATTAAATTCCATGCCTGCATGTTGAAATTTCCATTTCTCTCTGAAATCTCTGAGCCATATGGTCAAAAGGTAGAGCTGCGGAGGCTGCAGTTCTGATTAAGTTGATAAGACACCGAGAAATTCTACAACACAATTAATTCCAATCACTCAGCGTGGAATATTTCGTTCTAGGACTCTGATTAAAATTCCGTCTCATCTTCTGTCAAAGTTGTCATGATGACGATGCTATGATTGTTTTTTTTTTTCCTGTTTTGCTTCTAATCACAACCTGGGTGTCTCCTTTCACATCTGAATAAAAGAAATCTAGAATTTATACCTTAATTTATAGCCCCACACTGCAGTGATGTAGAATCATATATCAGAAATTGATTCATTTAGGTATTTTTTTTTTTTTTTTTTTTACATTATAGCCTTTTATATCCAATACTTCAAAAATACCACAAAAAAAATAATGATCATGCATATATCCAATAGAATTTTTCAATCCTTTTATTTTTGTATCAATTACCAATGAAATGACATTTGATTTCTATAGAAAAAGCTGTAAAATATAGTACATATGATTATGTATAATTATACTAGTATTTACATGATTTAAATTAGCATGATTAGATATTGAATATTGGAAAATTTGTCTCCTTAGACAAATAATTTTTGCCACATGCCACGTCTGTGATATGTCTTTTGGGCATCAGTTTGACTGATTATATAAAGAAAACCAGTGAAAATTGATTTTCCCTCATAATGACATACTGGTATATTAATTCTAATATAAATTTATATAACTCAAGGACATTCAAGATGTTCCTTTGCCAATTATCATATACCTAATTACAACTGAATCTTTGTGTTTTGTTCAGTTGGAAACTGATTCCAATTATTTATTCCATAATTATATTTCATACAATCTAGTTGGGTCTAATTCCTTTCACACTTAATTGGATGACAGATTACTCTCTAAACAAATATAACTATATGGATTACCCTGTAATTTTAAGGTGTGACCAGGGATGCTTACTTCTTCTAAGGCACCTGATCCCTTACTCTCAGTTTCCAGGAGGTCTGTTTATTTTCACAATTTTTATGATTATTCCAATTGATGAAATTGGTCAATCAGTATATCTACTGTATACAGGGAAATTTTCGCCCCCGTTTTATTTTCGCCCCTTTCGCCCTTCCCTCATTTGGGCGAATTTAAAACGGGGCGAAATGAAATAGTACAGTATTATTTCTTAAATAAAACTATGACTGGGCGAATTTAAAACGGGGCAAAATTGTTTGCAATTGTGAAGGGGCAAAAATTAAACGGGGCGAAAATAACCCGGCCTGTATACAGTATTATCTATCGATCCCTACCTTTCACTGTTTTGCATTACAGATTACTATGATATTTCTTAAACTTTTTTCAGGGGGGGGGGGTGTGTTCCTCTTTACCTATTTACGCTTTTCATTAAGTGCTTACATGTATCAACACAACTTTTCAATCCTTTATATAATATAATATGATTAAATTTGATTATTGCAAATGACTACAATAAGTGTACAATTTGACTCTAAACCATTAAAGGGGGAGTGTCAGATGGTATGTGTTTCACTACGCAACAACACTAAGAGAATTCAATGCATATTGTTCAAACCTCAGTCTTTCAACTTTCAATACTTTGTGAAAATTCGACATTATTACCTGTTGTAATATTTCTCTGCATGTGGTACATAATAAATTTGTTTTTTTTTTCGGTTTTAATATGTTCAAATATTGATAGAAACATGAAAATTGGTTTTAAAATGCCAGAGAACCTAAAATATTTACTCCTTATCGTAACTCATGAAAAGTAAACAGTCTATCCAAAGCTTACCTGTGCAAATTACACAACCCACGTGGAGGGAAATCCGCGCGCCTTTTCCTTTCTCCTTGTACAACAAAATTTGAAATCTCCCTCTTCCAAAATGTTTTAAATCCCAGCGTCTTTGGATATCCTTTTAACCTAATTTAAATATGAAAACACTTGTTGGATCTTCACGCTTGATAAAATTTACCTGTATAGTTATCGAGTTTCTATTTCCGGAGCCGCAGCGCCAAGGCGAATGCCATTGTGCTAATCGATTGGTCAGAAAATGTTAACAGACAGGTGTTTTTACCGTTGTCCATAGCAACGTAACCAAATCGATTGATTAGCAGTGATTTGACATTTTTATCAGACGACACAATTTTATATCATGTCATCATCTGCTGCTTTAATTGACTCAGTGGTATGAAATGTCAAAAAAATGCATGGTTCTAAAAATATTCCAATTAGCACTGCATGGACTAGCTAAACATAGAATGTAGAATATGTATCATCATGATAATTATTAATTAAGCCAGAAGCAAGAAACAAATAATTGGTCAAATAAATTAATATATGCAATGGTTGGACAACGACGCATTTGAGCTAATTTACTGAGGAAAAAACCGAGACCAATTTATGGATTTCAAAAAAGAGAATCCGAATAAAAATTATGAGGGGCAATAGATGGATGGTTGTCTGAACTCTTTTCATTTGAAATACGGTATGCCCTTTTGTCATGCATGCAGGCACGTAATATTAATTGGGGAGTTGTCCTTTTTCCAAACATTATTTTTTTAATGTTGAAAATGTTATTGAAAGAATCCACCCCCTCTGTTTTTTTGTTGTTGCTGTACACATGTACGTATAGCCAAACCAAGGTAATGTAGTTTTGCATGGATATTTGATTATAAGATTTTTGAGAATTGACCCCCCCCCCCCCCAACATACACATTCTTCGAGGTTCGACTAACTTTTTCTCATTTTTTTTTTCATTTTTTATCAGATTTTTTTTTTTTTTTTTTTTAGGTTTTTAAACCCTGATACCCCCATTCACGAAGTTGACATCTGCACGAACTCGGAAGCGAATTTATTAGCAATCCAAACCGGCAGTTATATACGTTATAGTATTATTACTAGTAAAAGTTAGGAACATAAAATAAGTAATTGAGATAAAATCTGAATAAATATAGAAGTAACTCGAGAAACAGCGCACGTTTTTTGTGCGCAATAAATGTACAGTCATGCAGCCTGCTGCACCTCTTTGATTGGTAATCCAGCTTCAGTGCTCCCCGGCTATAAATATGCAGCTAGGCGGCAAAACAAAATATGATTATAAGGACATACTCAGGTCGATCGCATTTATTTGGTACATACATACCACCGATAGAAAACATGTACATTCATGCTTCGACGATTTTTTTTTCAAATGCCGCTGACTGAAACAGAATCATTCTTCTGACTTTTTTTTCTTTTTTTTTTTAAATAATTCTTTATTTTTGTTTTACACATTCTGTTATTTCATACAATAATTGATAAATAAAAATACATAAGGTGTAATTTTTTTCATTTGAGAGAGAGAGAGAGAGAGAGAGAGAAGGGAAGGGGAAGAAGAGAGGAGAGAAAAGCTAGGGAGGTGGAGAAAAGAGTGCATGCATTCATAATATTTATATCAATCTAAAAATTCATTGAAATAAAAGCTTCCAATAGTTCCAGCAGATATCAAACATATTCTTTTCACCATTTTTGTATGCAATATATATTTTTGAGTTTCATAAAATGTACATTTTCTACTCTAAATCCATTCATTACTTTCAAATGAAAGTACAATAAACAACAAACACACCATTTGGACATAGCAACGACACGCAGTAGCTTTATTTTTGCAGTGTACATAACATATGCTAAATATGAAAATCAATTTGTATATACAAGTTTATGTTGGATTGAATAAATCATGATAAAATTTTAAACTTTATCGTGCTCTACGTGTCGTCCTAAACTGGTATTTAAACCACTATTCACCTCTTATATAGCCTTGCTAACGAGACCGGTTCTAAAGAACCACGTGATATACACCAGGTATTCGAATGAAAACCTTGTAATTCCGAAAAAGTAATTTATTATCACACCGAGTAGAAATTGATTTCTGTCTAATTCGTTCCTCAAACGAAAGAAATCATATTTCTACTCTAAATCCATTCATTACTTTCAAATGAAAGTACAATAAACAACAAACACACCATTTGGACATAGCAACGACACGCAGTAGCTCTAAATACAAAGAACGGGAAAATGAAAGTATAAAATCATTGATTTTAAATTCAATCCAACAAAATTCATATAAATCATAAGTCATTCAATATTTCAAACAATAAATATATCAAATTTTACAGAAATTTTCCAATAAAATGTTTTGAAAACAATTAAATAATCACCAAAAAATACATGTATTCACTCCATTACTTTTATACAAACAAACAACAACATTCTATGCATGACAGCCAGCGGTGCGTGCGCTGGACGCTGTATTTTATAAACAGTACATCAATATACATATATAGAGCACAGGACATTGTGTATGAATCCCCCAAAACTGCTGCATCTATTATAATTCTAAAATATTCTTTGTGATAAACATGAAAAGCATCAGGGCCGGCCAGGAAAAACTAGAGATAAAAATAATTTTTAAAAAACTCTAGAAACCTGTGTCCGTTGCCAAGTGCCGCTGGATGCAAAAAATGTTGCGACGGACCTCACAACCTACCAATAAAACCCTAAAAAAAATCAAATATATGTATATAAATTTCTTCACTTATACCCTTTATACATAAATTTAAAAAATTTAGATGTAGCTCGCTTAAGTCGGCGGCTAGAAGTGACCAACCTTAAAAAAAAACAGTTCTCTACTACATCTCAAAATCAATTTCTATTGGTCACTCTCTGACCAATCCACACAACATGCGTATAAATATCTTGTCATTAATACAACATTTTCTCACTATACTAGCGAAACGCGGGAAAATATCAATACATGTATATCCATCCTAAAAAATAAAAATACACCGCCGTCTTTTGAAAATCCATAACGCAATTCACCATGTGAGTCTGATTGTAAAAGTCTTGATGTTATGCACACATCCTATCCATACATCGATAAATGCTTGCTGCACTTGAATTTTGAGTATAGTTTCAAGTCAAACTCAACGCATACCATACGATTTATCGTGAAGTCCCAGGGAAGAAGACTTCAAATATATCAAATCAAATCGACACAGTTATACATAGAAGTATATTCATCATCCAATATCAAAATAGCACAAAATACACATTCCTGTGAAACATCTTGAATCCCATCTCAATTCCTTGGATATGTGCCTCTTTGAAACTCTGTCATTATTGGTACACCGATTAATACCTCATGGTGCTTGAATTAAACGTAAGAAGAATATAACCAATAATACCTGGAAGAACAAATTTGATGTTAGAAAACTGATAGATACATATATCTTGTAACTGATATTTTAGTAAATATGTATAGGATCTCTTTTTCTCTCTCTCTTAATCTATATAAAAAATCAGTCATCATCATTGTGGCTAGCAAAACATGCATACTATCATTAAATGATAAAATGAATCAAAATTCCACCATTAAGTTCAAAATTTATGAATTGCACTAATCATTTTTTTTTTTTTTTTTTTTAATTAGGAAAAACATGAATGTGTTTGTATAAACATCCATTTGATAATCAAGTTATGATAACCTTATTTTCATCAGAATAAACAACATTTACTTTACTATTTGTAGAAATACTTCCTACTGAAAACAATCTCACGAAATGGCATCAAAACAAATGTGGTTGGATAAACATCCATAAAATCATTTTATGATATAATTTATCAAAAGTTCAAATTCCAATAAAATTTTACTTTATTTTCATCAGAATTATCAACCTTTACTTTTACTACTTATGTAGAAATACATTCTACACAAACAAATCTCGCCAAATGGCATTACCACAAATGTGGTTGGATACAATTCCATACATTCATTTTATGATATGATTTATCAAAAGTTCAAATTCCAATCAAAATTTACTTTATTTTCATCAAAATTATCAACCTTTACTTTACTACTTCTGTAGAAATACTTTCTACATAAACAAATCTCGCCAAATGGCATCACCACAAAAGTGGTTGGATACAAATCCATACATTCATTTTATGATATAATTTATCAAAAAGTTCAAATTCCAATTAAATTTTACTTTATTTTCATCAGAATTATCAACTTTTACTGTACTTTATATGTAGAAATACTTTCTACTTTAACCAACTCGCCAAATGGCATCACCACAATACGGTTCAAAAAACATCCATAAATTCATACTATGTGAAAAATTTATCAAATACTTCAAGTTCGATTCAAAATTTTTCTTTGATTTCATGAAAATTATCAACTTTTACTTTAAAATATACCAAAAAACACTTTCTACATAAACCAGTCTTACTAAATGACTTCATCACATATGTGGTTGGACAAACATCCATAAATTCAAACTCGTATGATAAAGAACCCACTTTCTACTTTAACCAACTCGCCAAATGGCAACACCACAAATGTAGTTGGATAAACATCTATAACATAATATCATATTATGATAAAATGTGCAAAGCATTCGAATCCAATCAATTTCTATTTCATAGTATCAGCAGTATAATGAAAACAATCTTTAATAGATTGCCAAATGACAATACCATATACATGGTTGGAAAACATTCATAAAAGCATGATATGCTAAAATGTGCCAAAGTTATTCAAATTCAAACCCAACTCAATATTATTTCAAACAGAATATTAATTTTCATTAGACTATTTTGTACCTCTCATTGTCTACTGGAATCAATCCCGCCAAAAACCAAACACGATAGATGCGTTATGATTAACATCCATAAAATATTTTATGCTAAGCTGGGTTAGAGTTGGAATTCCCTTCAAAATCTATTTTTGTTTTACATTAAAAAATAACAGCTTTTAAATAGCTACAGTATTATAAAAATCGCTTTCCAGTGAAAACTAAATTCAATAAAAGTAAATACTCCAAAAATTGTTGCCAATTAATAAACATTCCTTATATCATTTCATTATAAAATGAAATATATCAACGTTATCAAAATTCAAATCTTCCAAATACTACCAAACACGAATATTGTGCAAAACAGCCCATGAAATTAATATTCAGAAAAGATTTAATTCAATTTTAGTGAATCATTTTTGAAATTAGAATTCATTGACAAAATTTCCTTTTTACTCGAAATCATACCGACAAAACTCAGTTTCTGTTATCAAAACTTTTTAGAATTGAAACTAAATACTTAGATCTCTTTTTCTAGAAAACTCAATCAAGCCAATTAAAAACACTGCAAATACTGCAGAATTATCATTCCTATAAATATTTTATACCATCTTAATCTTCTTCTTCATCTTCTTCTTTTTTTTTTTTTTTTTTTTTTTTGAATTAATACTCAATTGATAAATTTCAATTTTAAATAGATAATTCAAATGAGACCTTAGTTTAACTACAATGTAAATCAAAATGCAAATATTCTAAACCTTTAATTCTCTTTCACAAAGCCGTACATGTCCAGCATTAATCATAAGACAAGTAAAACTCGTTTTCTTCTATAAAATTTATATGTCATTAATACATATACTTGGTTAATAGATACCAAACAAAAATTATCTATGCCCCATACTCTACTATAAGGATTCATGATTGAATGATCTACTAAAATAAATCGAAAAACGAATTTTTATAGTCACAAATCAGAATATGAAATGCTTCTCTTTTCCATTGTGATGGAGTCCGCATGAAATTTAACTTTTAATTGGCATAAAACGCAAAGAAAAAATCTACCGTACTTCTCTGGAGATCTTAAAATCACCTTCTTCATTATACTCATCGTGATACCAACCCCAACATGTAACTACCTGAAACATAAGAATATACTCTTTTCTCTTCAACATATCTAAAACTTTTCATTTTAGTAGCACATTTGACAAAATGGCAAGCAACTGAAATTGAAAAATTCAAACAATTTTAATTGATCGATATTTTCTATACTCAGGAAATACATTTGATATAATGCTGATGCAATTGGATATAAGTGCAAATATAATATCTTATAAATTCTACACTTGTTTTAATTGAAAAATAAATTAACGTAACGAATTTGTTTTGCTTTTCAGAAACACCAGTTTTCTTCCTTTAACAAATCTATCTTTATACAAAACAAATTATCTATTTCTGGAAATAACTTCTATTATCATATACTGACTAGAATTAACGAATCTCATCATCTAATACAATCATGTATTTGTTTTCAAATTCTCTCTATTACAAACCTTGTTATCACTTATTTACATGTATTACTTATTCAAAAACTGATCAATTGTATTCTCAAATGAATACTTATCTTATAAAAACAAGATCTAGGATGGCTTTTCTTTGATGACCTCGCTTTCCACACTGTCAAATCTCTCTCCAATTCTATTTTCTGTGATTTCATATCATCTACAATGGCTAAACATGTCGATGAACCACGCCCTACGCCACTTCGTTCTGTATCTGAGATTTAAACTTTATCGTGCTCTACGTGTCGTCCTAAACTGGTATTTAAACCACTATTCACCTCTTATATAGCCTTGCTAACGAGACCGGTTCTAAAGAACCACGTGATATACACCAGGTATTCGAATGAAAATCTTGTAATTCCGAAAAAGTAATTTATTATCACACCGAGTAGAAATTGATTTCTGTCTAATTCGTTCCTCAAACGAAAGAAATCATATTTATGAAACATCCTTCTGACTTAACTAGAGGCACTCACATATTAAACAAATGCCAATAAATGCCGATGACTTTACCATTCTTGGTCAAATGCCGGTCAATGCCGCTGACCTTATCTTCGCTAGCCAAGGGTTTCTGATACGCTATATTCTTATGCAGGAGCTTTCTTTCGATCATGGAATGCTGCTGATCTTACAAAATGTACCAGAACTCTCTTTTGGACAAATGTCATTCAATGCCCTTTCTTACTTTATCAGAAGTTGCCGCTGACTTTATCAGAATCTCTGTTTTGGACAAATGCCGCTGACTTATACCGAATCACTGTACAAATGCCGCTGACTTAAACAGAATCACGGGACAAAAATAGATTCACTAGACAAATGCCGCTGACTTAAACAGAATCACGGGATAAATGCCGCTGACTTATACAGAATCACTGGACAAATGCCGCTGACTTATACAGAATCACTGGATAAATGCCGCTGACTTATACAGAATCATTGGACAAATGAGGCGAATTATACAGAATCACTGGACAAATGCCGCTGACTTATACAGAATCACTGGACAAATGCCGCCGACTTATACAGAATCACTGGACAAATGCTGCTGATTTCTGCAGAATCACGTGACAAATGCCGCTGACTTATACAGAATCACTAGACAAATGCTGCTGACTTAGGACAAATGCCGCTGACTTATACAGAATCACTAGACAAATGCTGCTGACTTAGGACAAATGCCGCTGACTTATACAGAATCACTAGACAAATGCCGCTGACTTATACAGAATCACGGGACAAATGCCGCTGACTTATACAGAATCACGGGACAAATGCCGCTGACTTATACAGAATCACGGGACAAATGCCGCTGACTTATACAGAATCACGGGACAAATGCCGCTGACTTATACAGAATCACTAGACAAATGCCGCTGACTTAAACATGTTAAAAAGAATCACTCCGATGACTTAACTAGAAGCACTGACAAATGCCGCTCAATGCCGCTTCATGACTTATGCAGGACCTCTCTCTCTCTCTCTCTCTCTTTCTCTCTCTCTCTTGGACAAAATTGAGCCTGTTGACTTTGCCATTAACTCCCTCTTGGACAAATGTCGCTTAATACACCTGTCTAACTTTATCAGAAGTAAGTTAAAATATTACTTATAAAAAAAAAACGATTTTTAATTTTAAATTTGTAATTTATGATTTATGAAATTTTTCACCAATAGCACTCTAAGTAGTCGATATAAGAGTTGTCTCACTTTCCATTGATAGCAATTAACGGTTACTGCATGGTCAGGTGATGACTGAAGTTCAGCTCACATCACTGCAACAATAATAGGAATCTATTATTTTAAAAAACCCATGAGTTGAATAATGAAATCAAGGCTTTTCTATATCTTTGATCTAAGAAACATAATCTGAAGTTTAAATGTATATAATAACTATACAAATCTTTAAATGTATCATTACAAATGATTAAATGTTTAACTACAAATGCTGAAATGTAAAACTACAAATGTTTCACAAAAATGTAATAAATATATACTGTAGATCACTTAATTTTCGCGACACCTTATTTTCGCGAGATAGTCATTGACTGTTTATTAGAGAGACAAAATTTCCACGAATTGTGGTCAGTGCTTTATATAATCTTAAGGAATTCTATTATACGCGAGAATGAAATTTTCGCGTGCATACTGTCTCGCGTTATTACGCGAAAATAAAGTTCTCGCGAATAAAAAGTGATTTACAGTATCCTAATATGTTAAAACCAACAATTGAGTCAGATTTAAATATAAAATAGTACCTAATTATGTTAAAACTAAAACTGAGCCCGATGTGCACGATTTACCAAGCTATAGTACACGTAAGAATGTTAAGAAATACATGTATAGTTCTACACGTTTCTAATCGGATGATTCCTTTTTGAATAAAACAGCATTTCATATTGCAGATACACCATGTATCATTGGGGGAGTTTAAATTAAATTCTTTCCTATATTGACGAGGGCTGTTAAAATTCTCTCTTAATTAAAAGACATGTCCGTAAAATTTTTTATCTAATTTCTGATTGTTTTTAGAAATCAAATTTGGGTATGACCCTTAGTATACTGGAAAATGGCAGATCCAATGATTTCCTGGACTCGTTTCTTCCTTTTGAAAGGTGTTTTTTCAAGTTTGGAAAATGAAACAAGTCAAAAGTCGACATATCTGGCGAATATTGTTAATGTGAAAACAAAATTACCGTAACTTTCTGTTTATCCCCGAAACTCCTTTACTCTTAGGGGAGTGCGGGTTTGGACGCTGTCATGAAGAAATTTAATGTAGTGGGTTCATGATTCTGTTCCCTTCCTCTCATTAACCTTTCGAGTTTTTTTTGCAAAAAAATGCTTTCTAGACTCTTCCAGACATTAAACTGCCTCCCAGAATACGAATTTTAACAACAAAACCACTAAAATTTAAGAAAATTGCACATGAATCTGTCTTTGTGCTCTTGTAATTCTTAGCTCTTCTCAGACCTTTGCTGCTTTTGTCAAGTGCATCTTATTGTAAATTTTGTTTTGAGGGTTTTAAGCAATAGATTCAAGTTTCATTATCTGAATTTCAAACAAACGTGGATAACCACAATTACTTACATTTCAAAATAATTGTTTAGATATTCCTACACGCTGTCGTTTTCACTCATTTTTCTAAGCTTTTTTTTTTTTTACTGCCAAACGTCTCTTTGTAACAGTGTAAACTACTCCCGAAATAATGTCTATCAAATTTGCTATGTGTCTTTTAAGTCAATCATACATCATCAGTGATTATTTGTTGAAATTTGACAATCAGTACATTCGTTGTAATAATATTTTGTTGGCAAGGACGGTACCCATTTTTGATGCCAATTATATAATTTTTTATCATTGAAATCCACCTGCTCATTTGTCTATAAAACAGACATTGGTTGCCGTAAATTTTACATATTTCAGTGAATATTTCTTTGGGATTCTTAACGAGTTTTACAGCAGCTTTAATGAAGCGTTTAATTTCACTCTAGTTTACTGATTCTTTACCATTCAATTTATAATGCAGTGTCTCGAATAGCCCTTGTTTTCCAACTTCTCACAATGAAACTATGTGATGAAAAGTGGTCACATAAATTGTTTTGAATTCATTAAATATTCAATAATGCAAAAAAAAGCCAAGCTTAATGTCATATGATATCTGTATTGTATGTCATACAGCTCAGGATATTATTTATTGAACAGCCCTCGTAGGGTAAATCCCATAGATTATGATGAGTGGGATATGATTATTATAATCTTTGGGATATATTCTATGTTAGACAATGTATGGGAGAAAAGGACTCAATGAATATCCTTGGGATTAATCCCATTTGAAAAAAAAATTGTGGAAGAAAAAATCCCAATGGGAGAAAATAACCCATCTGACACTTTAACTCCCATGGGAGAAAGGTGGGATAGTTGATGGGACTAAAAATCCCACCATCTTCCATGGGATTCTGACTTTTAGGACTTTACATCTTTGAAAAATAGACATTCCACCAAGTGCTATAAACTTTTTTTAACATCACAATTATAAATGGTAGTAAAAGTACAGGACAATGTCGTGTCCGGAGTTAAATGTAGTACTGTTTTTTTTTTTTACTTTTCGTTGTAAAACCCTATATATATCACATTCTTACACCTTTATTTTTATTGATCAGGCGTTCAAATTTTGCGTTCTTTTTGTCACTCATTTTGTTTTATCCCACTGGGATATATCCAGTCGACATATGAACAGTACTCATTGAAAATAGGTTGTTTATATATCTAAATGTCGAGTTGAAGGCCACAGCAAGTGTTTGCTTCTCCTCATGTAGAACCGTCACGATACCTCATTCGGTAGAGGGCTCGCTCCGTGATTAGTAGGTAGTGGGTTCGAATCTCGGCGGAGACTGGCCTTAGTCAATAAAAAAGTAGTTACTCTTCATTCGGCATTTTGAAGTGAAAATTGTGGGTCTTTTAGACGAGACCTTACAAACCGAGACCTTGTGTCACGACAGGCTTTGGCACGATAGAGGACCTTCACTGCTCAATGGCCCTGAGTGCTGTTTAAAGAAACTGTAAAATTTGAAGCTCATCAGATATATATGATGCATCTCTATAAGAGTGAACATTTCTCAAACAGGATGTAAAACAACACACAATCAATCAGTCAATCAATCAATCTTCTTATTTACAAGTTTTAAACTAAATTCTGCTTCATATCAATACAAAAATAGGTCTGCAAATACCTATGGTACTCATGGGAAATCCGACAGACTTTTAGAAGACCTGGTCTTCGCAGACTAAATCGATGATGTCAGTTAAATAACAACATCAGTGTACTTGCGTGTAAATTCAGAATGTTTTCTACCACGTACGGACGACTTTTCATTTTCAAAGCTGCTGCTATTTTCGTTTTACTGCATCACAAAATGTAGATCTGATGACTTGGCTTCATACATATAGAAATACTTAAGGATTCCCATCCCTAATAGGACCAGATTATCTACCCTTAAATGGCCGTCAAGTACATGTACATAACACTCTGATATTAAATTAAGGCATTGTATAGTAGAAAAGGATTGTCCTCGAGAAAGTTTCAAAAACTTCACTAACTAAGCATTAATTAATTAACAAAGATTGCATTTAAGTCTATGGGAAAAACCATTTTTTGAAAAATAAAAATTCAAATAATAAGAATATGAAAGAATAAAGGAATAAACAAATTATGTCACAAGTAAGTCGTGCATGTGTGTGTTTAAATGATACAGGCGGTGTTTGAGTGACAGAGACTCTGTATCCAGCGAGGACAATCTGTGAAGAAAGGGTTTATCTGGTAAAATCTAAACAAAAGCTTTAAAAAGTTGGAACGTCATTGAAAGACAAAGGCGCTTCAGAGTTGCTGATCCCGTTAAAGCACAGCTGAGTGGTAAAAGAAATTAAAACGTTGACAAAGGAAATTATGCAACGAGAACAACTGTTAGAAAATAAATGTTAAGTGATAAAAAAAAGTTTTTTAATGAGTGGTTATTGGACTATGCTGTGTTAAATGTGCAGGGATAGTATGTGCAGGGATAGTAACTTAATTTGAGAATTTCTTAACGCTATGTTTTTGACGTTACACTGACGTTAGGTGTGCCCCGTGGTTACAAAACGTGTACTAGTAGATCTTAAAATGAAGTAAATTGATTTCTATGAAATCGAATGGAACTAACCTTCACAAATCAACAATACAATTATTTGTATACATGATATTGAGCTTATTTTAAATTTCTTGATAGTAGTATAACGAAGATTGACGTCGTCCACGAACTTTTCGAATGACCCTCCTAAATAATGGTCCTGCACCTGACTATTGGTATGAATTAATGAAACCCCCTATTTTCAGTTCAACATTATAAGTAATTGTAACCTAAGTTCTGGATGTAATAACTTGAGTTGTGTATATACCAGTTTGTCAAACAGTGCCTTACTATATACGAGGGTTGTTCGAAGAGTTCGTAGACAATTTCAATCCTCATTATACTACTTTCAAGAAATTTTAAAAATACACAATGTCATGTGTAAAATATTTGTTTTGTTGATGTGTAAAGTTTCATTCCATTCGATTTAATAGCAAATCATTTATTTCATCCAAAAATCAACATGTTTTGTAACCACGAAGCATAGAAATTTAACGACAATGTAACGTCAAAAACGTAGCTTCAAGAATTTCTCAAAAATACTAAACCTATACATTTTACACAGTATATAGTGCATACTCATTAAAACATTTTCTATTTCTTGACATTTATTTTCTAACAATTGTTCGCGTTGTACAATTTCCTTTGTCAGCGATTTAATTTCTTTTACCACTAGACTAAGCTTACACAAGACCAGCAACTCTAAAGCGACTATGCCTTTCAATGACGTTCCAACTTTCAAAACTTTTTGTTCAGAATTTAACAATTATACAGACAATACTAGTATTTAGTGTATTTATACAGTTTAAACAGTTTCTTCACAGATTGTCCTCGTCCAATAGAGAGTCTCTGTCACTCAGATACAGCTTGTACCGTTCACACACACATGCACGACTCACTTGTAACATATTATTTGATTCTTTCAACATTTTTAAACTTTCTTCAGAAGTTTTCTCGAATAAAACACAAATTGTATCGTTCTCTGCTGCTCCATGACGTTCTAAAACGTCATCATTTTTGTCATTTTAATGAGCCATAATTTTGAATATGAATCGATGTAAGAGTTCCTAATTTCAACGTTAGAATTTTTTCTTTTGTTGTTTGGTCCAATTGCAGAGAATTTGACTACAGACATTATTTAGTGTATTGTTTGTAAATTACAAAATTTAGACCTGCTCCGCGACCCGAATTTGGCAGTTTCTAACTCTGTATAAGTTTGAAATAAATCAAGATATCTTTAAAGTTTAAAATTAGAATCATTAGAATGTATTGTAAAAACATTTTTCCCAAATATGGATTTGATATGCGTTAAGTAAAAAATATGACAGAAGTTCAAGAACTTTTCGAACAACCCTTGTACATGTAGTTATATTCCCTTAATTGTTAAACTTTTGAACGGTTTTAATATGATATACAAGGAGAAAGAAATATGATTGTCGTTTCGTAGTCTACATGTACTACACCACCTGATGCATACGTCTCTATAGAGTTGACAGATTTATTTTCATGAATGAATATTTATTATCTATATCTATCTACTTATCATCTAATCTATTCTCTCTATCAATCTATAATTGAAAGGTCGAGTACCATCTGCCAATGAATCAGACGATTTTTATTTGATACTTACCACCATTTTCAAATGTCAGATCTGATAATTCACACGGCAATAAATCCAAAATGACTGGACATCAAATTTTTGTGTAAATCAATGACGAATAAACGATGTTGACAAAGGGGACATTGTAAATGTCAGGATTACCTAAATAGGCGATGAATATATTTATAATTAATGAAAAATATATATAATTAATTTATCTGCTTTAGCCGGTTCTCATATTACATGATATATAGCTTGAAGCTTTGGACAGCATTAACAAACATCTCAAATTTGATACAAATATCCATACCTCTTTCATCTGGGTAAGTTTTTTTTTTTTTAAAGATCATCATAGTATTTTTAGCTGACCAAAAGTGAACTACATGTATAAATAAATTGATAAATAATTTTAAAAATATATATTGTTTATGAGATAATATGAAAAAAATATAATCTTGGATGTTAGTCTATATGTTTTAATATATATTCGTATTTTTTCACGAAATGCCGTTATAATGTAATTGGAAAGTATAGAAAAATGAAAAATCTATAATAAGATCTAAAGGATAGAAATGCAAGTTCCTGTACGCTCTTATATGATTTGGGTATAACATTACTTTTTAAGTTATTATTTTGAAAAATCGTTTTTAAACTTGATAAGAGAAGCAAAAAGTGAAGAAAACTTAATTTTGAAATGGTTATCTTTCAAATGATAAATATGAAGATGAAGAAGTACAGGAAAATTTTAAGAATTTACCTTATGAATGTACAATAACTACTCACCTGTTAAAGTTGAAAAAAAGATATTTTATTGAATAAGTCTTTACTTTTGTTACATTGCACTTGAAATTTCTTTTTCGCTTTACTATGATAACGACTGACTTGTATCATTTTATGCATTCCTGAAATCGAATGTCTAGAAAAGCCTCAAGAATGTTTTCATGTTAACTATCTAATGTAAATTTTTCTTCGCAGATATCAGACCTTGGAAAATGATTCATAAACTAGGAGGAATGTTTTTGTTAGTGTGTTTATTTGTCGTTGCTGTACATGTGAACAGCGAAGAAGGGCCCTGTTACAAATGTACAGAAATATTCAGGGGCTGTCATGCTTACTACAAATGTGAAGGACATCCGTTTGAGGACAGATGCCGGAAATTTTGTAATGATCAGTTTACCAGATGTATGGACTCTTGTAAGGCAAACCTTACACCGTTGAAATAGCAATTCTAAATGTTATCATTCTGTAGTGAAAGGTACAGAAATATGTATATTCATTGCCTAAAATACGTATCTTTTTTCCTCTTAAATAACATAAATTATATTAATAAATATGTTATACTATAAGATAGTCATTGCCTAAAAGATGTTTATCTTTTGCTGCTAAAACACCATAAATTATGCTAATAAATCTGATATACAACAGTTACTAAATGTTTGCGTTTGTTTCTAAATGCTATTGCTTTTTAAATACACCAGTAGATCTTAATGAAATAATAAAGTTTGATGATTGATGATTGAATGATATGATATCTAATGGATGTAATCTCTAAAACTTTAAACTCGACAAAATGTTTTACTCATTGAGGAGTTTCTAAAATGCATTAATTCCACAAAAAAGTAACATTTACCTATTTTATTAAAGCCATGCACAAAAAAGTACATTGATCATTAAAATTTTAATCAAATGTTGACTTAAAAAATGGGTTATACCTAAATATGAGATCAAGCTTAAGCTGTTTTAAGTCGACTAACATAAAGACAATGGAAACATTTTTTAAAAGGAAGCTTTCTACAAACAACAACAACAACAAAAAAGCAAACGAACAAACAAAATTTACACAAATCAACTCACAAGCATTACAAATATTTTAAATTCCTTTTTACTCACAAAAACTTTATTTAAGTATTATTACGCGAGTCAGTCTTACCACCAAATTTTCATTCCTTGTGTAGATTTGTGTTTAAAAGATTTTCATAACATTTTCTGTTTGTATTATAACCATGTTTACTAAATCACTTTTCAATTATACATGTTGGAGCAATTACTTAATTGTTATTGGAAATCAAATATCATAATTTCGATTGTTGCATTGTTAATATTCTAGTCAAATAAAGCAAAATCAATCAAGAACTAAAATTAAGCGAATTTCATGATTTTATAAATTAATTCATTTTTTTTGGTGTTTTTTTTTACCTCGGGTATAATTTATGTTTTTTTTTAATGCAATCATTTTTTTCTTACATCGCATTATTTTCTTTATTTGATTTATTTTAAATGACATATTGCAAATCGAAGGAGAGAAACCAGTAAGTTGTAGGAACTCTTTTCCAATTCTTTTGATTCATGTTTTAAAATATTTTCAAAACAAACAAAAAAGTATAGTCTTTCAATAAAATATACATTATCAGTTTTAATATCAAGCCCTATTACCATGTATTTGAAAAACATATATATGTTATAACATTAAGAAGAATAGAATTAGGAGAATATTTCAATTAAATGTTTTGTTCCCATTATATACTTGTCGACACAGGGCTACACAGTTAGACCTGTACTCAACATTTACGACTTATGAGGAGTGAAGGGTCTTTTTTATATCTAGCAGTAGGAGGATCTCGATTTATATGGTCTCATCCGAAGGAGTGACCTCTGGGTCACATAGTGTATTAGAAAATTTCGACGTGAGGATCAACTTCCAAACTCTCTAAAATTTGCGCCACACGGGCGACAACTGCTGTCCTGTATAAATAATTATTTACATACTACATGTAAACTTATCAGAAATTTAGCGCCTAGACGCTTTTACTTTGTATATCAGACAAATAAAAGTTATTGAGTACATGGAATGGCTTGTAATGTTTTTTTAAGGTAAGTTGTTGGTAAATTTGACATTAATAACAGAATTAAACATATTTTGCTAAATATTTATGTATGAAATACAAGTCATTTCTCCAGAAGTTACACATGAAATGCCACATTGCACCATTCTATGACAATTTAAATAAGACTGGGCACTTGAACCTAATTGGAATTTCCGAGGGTTCGTAATTTTGCCTGGAACATTATAAAATATGAAGTAAAGCATTTACATTAAAATGTGAGGAGTGTAAGTCAACATTACGATATTAATTTTTCTATGCCCCTAATTCTGAGAAATTAAAAAAAAAACATAAATATCATCATGATCAAATTTTATTGCAATATTGTGGTAAAGTAGAGCATTCCTACACCAGGCAATGAAATTAGGAGGTTCCTTAATGTAATTACTTTATGTGCATTTATTAACATATTATTTTTTGTTGGTATATTCTTTGTACAATAGTCGCCCGCATGGCGCACTGGTTAGAGCGTCTGCTCTAGAGTCGCGGGTTCGAATCCCACTGAGGGATGTGGAGACCGGTCCTTCGGATGAGAGTGTATAAACCGAGATCCCGTGTCGCAGTAGGTGCTGGCACGAAAAAGATCACTCACTACTCAATGACCCTGAGTGCCGAGTATAGGACAAAATTTGCAGCTCTTCAAAGGCAAGTGGTGGCGTCTCCATATGTGTGAAAAATTCTGGAGAGGCACGTTAAACAACATACAATCAGTCAATCTTTATACAATAAATATTTCATTAATTATTTATGGACCTTTCAGCTCAAATATATATATATTTCATTGTCAGTTTGGAATTTCTAGCAATGTTTGGTAATATATTGGTCATGAATATGTTTTCTGGCTCCATAAATATGAGTAGAGCTCATTTTAATCCCTGACTCACTTTTCCTATTTAATTTTATAAAAGTGAGACTGAAATCTAAAGTGAGACTGAGAGCCAAAGTGAGGCTGAGAGCCAAAGTGAGATTACATTAAGTTTCATGGCCCCGGAGCCTAAAATGTTTGAGATGGCAGGGGGTATATCGTTTCAGAGGAAGAACTGACCAAAATCTAGGAAAAAAAACAAATAATAGAGAAAACCTTAGGTTTAAATGCCGAATTGGATCGATGACTTTATTGCTGAAATATTTATTATGTATATTTGGTTGGGAGGGGTGGCCTGATATATTTTATTCATATGACTCTTATGTAACGGTTCTGAATCGACAGGAAACTAACAGAGATGCAGTACTTCGAGTGCATGAACATTTGGTAGATTGGCAAATACAATGTGAGCCATGGATTCCTTTGATGGAAAGAAGGTTCTATTAAAAATATAGGGAAAGAGTATATATCTCTCTCTCTCTTAGAAAATTAATTCAAATTGATTTCTGTTAACAGAATTGGTCGATTACGTAAATATCAATTTAATAATGACCATCCCAATTAAATTCTTGGGCGAGCTTTATTACTCTGGCCATAATTATTCTGACGTGAAGGATAGTATAGATAAAATGTAGCCAATGTACAATAATGACATTTGCCTAGTTGACTGAACAAACAAAAGACGAGGCATGAACCCTCTTGCAATATTTATGGTAGGTACTATAACAGTAATTTTTCATGAATTTGTAGGATTGAAAAGTTCATATTTTCACAATCAGTTTTAAAAGCAAAAAAAATTAAGACATATATATATATATATATATATATATATATATATATATATATATATATATATATATATATATATATATATATATATATATATATATATATATATATATATATATATATATAATTTTATTTATTATTGACATAGACTTGTTTTGAAAAACCAATCAATAACACATTTAAATAGACTTAAATTAAATTAAGAACTTTTTATTATCAAAACATAATCATCGAGAACCTTAGTTCAATATTTTGGATTGAAAGGATTTTTACAAAATCACTTTCAGTTACAAATGGATACTAAAAGTATAAATTTAATAAAAAAACAACTTCGATTTAAAAGAAAATATTTTTAATAAAAAAATAAAGAACCGTATATAAGTATCGAAGATATATTCGATTAAAAAAAAATGATCTGCTTAAATTGATTTAACCTGAAATGATTTCGAATTATCCGAAACCCCATAATAGTTTTAGAAATTATTTTTTGAGTGATACCTAACTGAACAAAGAATTAGAGTTTATAATTGGACAATAACGAAATGGACAAAACATATCATTCCGAATTAAAAGCGATGTGTTTTTTACATTTTGAAATAAACAAGTCTACTCATGACCTCACCATAAGTTCATCAATCAAAATATCGAAAATAAAGAAACAAACAAACAAACAAAAAATAATTATGCAACTTTGTCTATTTATGCTTTAAAATTATAGAATTTATTTATTCTAAATTTCTCGGTATTTTTCCGCGCACTGTCGATTATTTTCTATATATAATGCGCATCTCTCTCTCTCTCTCTCTCTCTCTCTCTCTCTCTCTCTGACCCTAAGGAATATTTATTGCAGCTACATGCATGGTTTAAAATATGGAAGTGATGTAATTACAATTCATCCTCTCTGAAAATATGTTTTGGAAAAACCAATTATTATCATTTATTAACAGATGTTAAATGTATACCAACTCCAATTCTCCATGCGGTTCATGTTTTCTAATTTTAAAGAAATAGTTCAAATATAATTTTTTATAGTCTCTTACTTTTCTCGCTGTTTTGAAATTGTATTCAAATTTTTCAGATTTCATTTTTTAAGTTTTCTCTCTTTAAAAATTATACCCCAATGTATACCTCATGCGAAGAAAAACAAAACAAAACAAACATAAATGCTCGATTGTTTTAAGAAAAGGAAATGTCTATTCAGTTGGTTTGAAAAAAAAGTTGTTAAGATGCATAATATTTCAAAGGTACCCAGAACAAGACTAATCTTTGGTTAAGATTACAATCATTAGATTTTAAAGATATTGTTTATAAGATTATTTTACTAATGTTAGATTGCATTCAATTCCGTTAGATCTTCTACATGCAATATCCAGTGGGTTTGTACTGAATTTAAGAGGAATGGTTAAAATTATCTTATATATTCAGAAAAAAATGGGGGTCTGTGATGTTAATTTTTAGATATTACTAATTTGGTGTTAATTTAATTTTGAATTAGACTACTTCACAAGGACTTTCACAATAAATTTTCTATATTTTTCAAATATGATAAATATACTTCGTGACAATTAATTCAATTTAAAATTAAGGACACACACAAAGCATTTCACGACACACAAAAAAATAGCAAAATAGAAAATATGTTTTGGAAAAACAAATCATTATCATTTATTAACAGATGTTAAAAAAAGACCTTTCCACTTTTAAATTATGAAAAAATACATAATTATACATATACCCGGCTAATTAGAAACAATGTCTGTTGTTTCATTTTTAGCCTGGATACCTATTCACAAAAAAGAGAACTATAAATAATTTATCAGATAAAGAGAGGTAAAAAAAAAACGAAAAATCTCAACAGTATACATAAATATTGTTTTTCAGTTTTTTTTAAAGAAAA